GGTGCTTGTCTTCATATGGAGACTGATAACATTCCAGTTGCTGACGTAAGAATAACATTTAAACGCGACTACCTTGCAGTGATGAATGTTAACAGTCATGGAACTATATATATGTTGATTTGGCATAATCAAATAGGTTATTTAGTACTGGTTGCATTATGAAACAGGTATTCAAGTACTGGTTGCATTATGAAACAGATATTCAAGTACTGGTTGCATTATGAAACAGGTATTCAAGTACCGGTTGCATTATGAAACAGGTATTCAAGTACCGGTTGCATTATAAAACTGGTCATTAAGTACCGATTGCATTATATAGCGGGTCATCAGATACGTTGCATTACGAAACTGGTTGTAAAATACAACCAACAATGAAAAGTTGTCTGGTCAAATATGTAACTCTAAAAGCCTGATGTAATTTCAGTACAACTGCTTCCATGAGTTTCCCCATCACAAAACAGTACTTTGTATTTCCAGGAATCAAACAATCCTTTACAATACTATGTCAGTTTGTATATATCTGTTTTATACAATGTATTACCGATTATTTTTGCCACTTACAGGGAGGTAACAAAAGAACATTACACATGAAAGAATTGAGGATGAATTGTTTTCTATACATTTCCCAAAGTAGTCAGCAGTTTTTCCAATAGTCAGGATCTTGAAAAACACAAGCACTCCCCTCATATACGGGTTGAGAGATCCATATACCAAGATTAGACTTTAATCCTGTTTGGAGTATTGCAGAAGTCACCTTACTGGCAAACTCTGCTCTATCCAATGACAAAGTTAAAACAAGGCTGTTATTGATGACACATTCTAACTGCAAGGCGCCACACCCAAAGACCAGTGTTCAAAATAGCTGCCAACACTAATTCTGTTATCTTTAGGCAGCTAATTATTCACCAAAGTCCAAATGGAATATCTGGAGAACTTTCAATTTAGGATTCTTTGAAACCAATATTCCAAATCATTCATATCACATGATTCTTTGATACTTCAACCTTGCTCTTGCTGTAAATTGTGGCTGAAGAAACTTTGTTGAAATTAAGGCAAATATCAGATAAAATATAGGAGTTATTCTGAACACTGGTACAAACTACACCCTGGAATAACAGTTACAGATAGAAGATCGAATTAAATACATGATAGTTCTTATAAATGATGATTGCCTTTTTCAAAAGATGTTTGTTTTAAAAGACTAGTTCTTTAAGCACAGCTGCTAAAAGTAACTTAACATTTTCTAAACACTACTCAAACTTAATTCAACTTTTTACAAGTTCCATTTTTTCAGAACCAACAACTTAAGTACTTGTAGTAACTATCAACAAATTGCATTATAACAACTACGCTGACACAGGCTTTGTCCTTGTACATTACTGTGAAAGCTTGAAATCTTCAGCTGTGAACAAATGTTTTTCTAAACCAAGGAAAAGGCCTTAACATTTGGGTCAATGGGCACTCTGACAGCCCACTTGGACTGAAACCCATACCAAGTAAAGTTTCATGAATAATTTGCATGCTGCTTAGAACAGTATTTCAGTTACATAACAACATATCAGCTCAAAGATGAATGGAACCCAAAGAGAATGGAACCGAAAGACATGCAGATCGAGGACGTGTACCACTTTGGTGAAACCTGCATATATGATATGCTGACAAACCAAAGATCATCATATTTGGGTATATAGTGATTTGGACCCATGACCAGCAGATCCTGGTGGCTAAGGGACGTAACTCTGCACAGCTAATTGCTGTGCCTTAGAACACTGGCTAACTTCACTACCATTAATAGACATACAGTTACAAGCATAATGATAGATATTGAGAAGAGAATGAAATCGGACGATTACAAATACATTCACATTGGAATATTGACACAAGGCATGTAAACACGCATGTCATTGGAAGGTATCACGTCCAATAACCGGTATGTCGAACAGTCATAACATTCACAAACATATCCTTGGACATATCAGTGAGAGATACTGGTCTGCACAGATATGAACACAAATTTGTTAAACATATCTAAAGGACACAAATATGTTGTTCTCTCCAGGAACAACTGAAACTAATCTTCTCAACTCGGCAAAATACACTTAACAAGCATTTGATTATCAAACTTGAGCCAGTCTATAGTTGCAATGTTTGAATGTGCATATTAACAAATATAAAGACATTCTATACATAAATTTCTTTCTATTCACTGACTCCATGGAATCAACTTTCAAAACTAAAGCTAATTTTTGACATTTAATATGACAATCTTTGACAAAATCAAGATTAGCACTTTTCAAGCTGTAGACAGAAAATTCACAAATGTAACTTCATACTTCATGAATAACAAATGATCGAATTTCATAAACTGAATCTGAAAACAAAAAAATACCATGATTCAAATATATTTCGCAATACATCGGATTTCCTGATCACATTACTGGGTTCATACACATGGCTTCATAAACCAAACAATATCTGTCAACAGGGAACGTGGCTCAGAAATACAAGCAGTTGTAGATTACAACACTCGGGGTTGTCTGATTCCATTTGATTTTGTAGTGGACAAAAGCAGTAATCTGTGTCTTGCACACCCTAAACTCACACAATCTTAGCATCAAACTGATTCCTATTTTGCCTTTTCTCATGATTGTAACAGCATTAAAGCATCACACGAAGCTTAAGAGCGATGGCATCTGGCTGACTGATCACTACTTGTAGAATGACGCCACAAAAATGTTTCCGCCATATGAATGGACTGATAAATAATAACCATTAAAAAACCATTAAATTCATAGTTCATAGACACAGATGAATTAGATTGAAGCACAAGTAACTTATCAATAAACTACAATCAGGAAAGTAGTCTTCATAATCTGACCTTAGGTCATTACCATGGAGTAGCCAATCATGAACCAAGAATTGGATATAATAGACACCAGTAACCTAAAATGTTTTTCTGCTACACAGGTGTTCAAGAAATATTCAAACACAAAATTGGTTTACTTTCTTAGTCAAATTCTGTTGTGTAAATCAGTCAAATAAGGAATAAAGACCCGAGGATTCAAAGAAATTGTTTCAATGACCCAAGTTTACTCATAATGCATACCAGGTTCCTGAGCCAAGTTCCCCTTCAAGAGATGGTTATGCATACATCACAAGAAACTCCTTCCAAGTTCCATTAAAAGCCTATTAACTTTGAGAAAACATCTGTAATAGAAAGCTCTCACTATCATTGGATAGCAAAGGTCTACATTTTGATGCACCCCTTTAAATGAATACATACTTTCAGATGACGGTATAAATCGTTTCCTACAAGCCATATAATGCAAGGACACTGACAACAGAAATAATAAATGTTTTAAAGACATGTTATAAATGTCCGTGCTTACATCCCAAGGAATATTAAGCATGTTTTCAAATAAGTATAGAATCTCATTAATGTATCCAACCTTCTTTTCAATTTTACAGTATTCTTGATTTTACATGTTTTTGTGGAACATGTTTTATCATTTTGACAACCAATAAAACTACTGTATTTAACATGGTTAATTTGGGGCACAGATATTTTTGTAGCATTTGATAGGAAACAAGATAACATTAATAGACTGTACTTTCAACACTGTTCAACCCACCCATTAAAATACACCTGTTATGTGCCCAGCTCTCAGTCTTTTAACAACAATCCCATCAGACTGGGAAGACTGGCAATATGCTTACATGTGGACAAAAAATGGTGGATTATGTTAACAAAACCTAGAACTGACCAAAGACTAATCACAAAAGATGTTGATTTTGAATAGGACTTAAAAGTGAGTTCCAGCATCACCTTAATGAGGAAAGCAAAAGAGGATTTTGTAGATGGTGGTTAACTTTGCTGATATACATATGGATGAAAATAATAATCCGAGACCTTCTTTAATATACAAATATTTCATTTGATCCCTTATGCATGATAAACTTGAACAAAGACTTACCATAGCCTTAGAACTATGATTTCTTATAAAATGGTACCAGTGTCTTGAGTGAATATTTCACACTCCATGGCACGATCCCATATAATGAATGTGAAATACAATAACTTCTTTGATGCCAGTATGCAGCTGAATGCTTAGTGACCAACAGGGGAGATAACTAAGAAATGAGTTTGCATACCACGATACAGAATTAACACAGACAGAAATAACACTGACTGTACATTTTGGCAGTTCTTCCCTTGGGCGATTGTGTGGTCCAGGGAAACAGTTCTTGACAAAGAACACATGTGTTACTGGGTACATCTATACAACAACAATGGGAGGACTCAAAAGTGTTCTGGTGTATTTATGTTTTCCTTCCTTGCACATGACAACCGTTGATTCTTAAACCAATCCCCTGTCAAATTAGTTGTGTGAGTCAGAGAAGATGACAGATTCAATGGTATGTCATCAATATTACTGTTGACTTAATCCGCTAACTTCTTGCTTGAATTTCAACATACTATATCCTATCAAACCATGTTTGAGCATCTGATATGTAATTCACAAAAAACAGTCACATGACCTAACAAAGACGATTTAACATGGACGAAACTGTACAAAAGCAGTTACAGGAATTAAATTCTCACCACCTGACTTCAACTCTGTACTGTCTATATTATGCATTTAGTTAAAACCCAGGCCCTGGAAAGTGCAATGTTTCTCATGTATCTTCAAGAAGCTGTGTGCAGTTTCATCAGGGTAAGCCGTTTTGTTTTGATTTAGTCTGGAAAATTATCTTGTTCTGTGAAGACTGTCCTGAATTTCACAACCAGCATTTCTCCATATAATAATGCTGATTTTAGCATTTAAAAACTAGAAAAAAAAGGAATATAAGAACAATTCATTGCCCAAATAGTGCCTTCATTTGGCTGACACATTTGAATATTATGTTTACTCTTTAAATGGAAATAGAAACCTAATGTTTTGACATTGAATAAGCTGATAAACTTACTTTTCTCATGGCCTGAACAGGGCATATTTTGATTTTCTCAAAATTACACAGAAAAAGCAGCATAATAGTACTAAGAAACTACATGTACATATTTACCATTTTTTCATAATTCAATATTGATTTGTATATAGACTAGCAATAGAGATGATGCTATACAGGCTCATCTAAAGAAAGAGCTTACCACAAAAAAAGGCATGACTTAACAGAAACGATGGTTGATCAGCACTTCACTTCCTGGTACACTATAACGATTTCACATTACTTTCATGAAGTCTACAAAGCTACCATTCCTAAAATATTTATGTTTCATAATTACGACAGGTAAGAATATCTATCTGACAACAGTCATGCCTACTGATAAATGACTGACAAGTCTCAGTCTCCGAGTAATTTAAAATTGCATATATGTTTAAGCCTCTGACAGAGATAAGATATGGATAACCATGAACTCACACATATAATATCCAACACAGGTATCATTAATCCCAGTCAAGAAAACCGACATGAGTGAATCAACTCAGAGACATACAGGACAGTACAACTCATGCAAAGAATTCTCTCACAACCGTTAACAAACTGAAATTGAACAAGAATACCTGAATAAACACAATGAGAATGTTGTACAGAGCAAATTCAACTTTACAAAAGACCATGAGAAAGTGATGACCGATTTCTCTCGACATTACAAAATTATGGACAACCATGATCGAGATGAAAATCTATGAAATAACAAAGTGTCAGTAAGGACTCAGAATTTTTTGTTTTCAATCGGCTATAGATGAAAATAAGCATTAATTTTTAGACCAAATGTATAAAACTCCAAATGCACTTTCATGAAAGAAACTATATATAAAAATGCAGCATCTTTAGGAAAATCTTACTTCCAAAATGTACGATCTATAATAGAAATAATGAAAAGTATCAAAAGTCTAGATCGCAATAAAAATTGGCAAGAGAAGCGTTATCAGTTAGCTTATTACAAAAACACTCTCCATAAATTCTTTCAAAACCACAAATTACGAGTACTAGAAAAATCAGATACAATTACTCTGCAGCCTGTTCAGTACTCTGAATTGATCAAATACTCCTACATAAATAATCTGTCTGGCAATAATCCGACAGTGACAGATATACACACTTTAGAAAAAGACAATGGACATTCGCTGTACAAATCGGCATAATAGTACACAACTGCTAGTAGAACTTGTAACCATAGTAACACGACCTATACATGTCTCTGTACATTATAATGCTTGCACATTCTCCATCCTCGGTGCAGCTGTAGACTTGTTTCAGCACCAAGCGATCACATAGAAAATTCTGTACAATATGCAAAATATTATCTGATACAATGATACTGTGAACAGTCACATAATATATTAATGTATGTTAGCATACTGACCATAAACTGACACGAGAAACACTAAAATGGTGTCCTTGTGAGCTTCAACATCATTAGGATGCTGAATGTTTAATTATGCCCCTGGTATTACTTATGCATACCAATAATACATGTACTGGTATTTTTGAACAGGTATTGTTATAAATATTTGTATAGTTGGAAATCAAGCACCTGGATTATACAGGGTATCCAGAAAGCTAGCTTTAGAAACACTGCCATTTGAGTTTGGATATGGAAGTGTCCATTTTTTAAGGAGGGGGCATGGGGAGAAGAAATCTTTAAGATGGAGGAAAATACAGCTCACTTTTATATACTGACAAATATCAATTGGTATTATCCTGTAAACAGTTTGATACAATCAACTCAATTTTGAATAAACATAATGGTCGAGAATGAGCCAGTAATTTGAGTTTTGGCCCCCACCTTTAACAGTGTAAGTTAACAATTAGTTAAGTCGTCAGAAAGCCAAATGTGACAGTTACTAAGATGAACACTAGCATTAGGTTACTTTCATGACTCAATCACTGTTTGAAAGGACATTCCGCTGCATCATAACCAAATCTGAACTGTATCAAACCTGGGTCTTTGGCGTGACAAACGCTTTAACCACAAGGCTACCCCTCCATCACCAGAGGAAATAAATGCCTGGCAACAGCCTAGTGGTTAAGTAAGTTTGATCTAAACTCACAAGCCAAAGGTTAGGCTTTCCATGCTTATAGGGTATTATGGTAACAATAATGTGCTACTGCATGGCATGAGCGCTACAACCCAGATATGAAACTTGGTGTCAGTAAAATATGTGAACACATTGTCTTCATATGAAATTAAGACCCTCACTCCCTAAATAAGAATGAACAGATCCTGATATGAAAATGGCAATCATTTCTAAAACTAGCCAGAAAGAAGTTGAAAGTACCCATCTCCTTGTTTCCATCCTCAGGAAAGCTTAATACTTAACACAACAACCATCACTGTACATGTCAACAGTCTTCAACTTACTAACAACAACAGCTCATGGTGCAACCAGCAACATTCCCTCTCAAGTATAATTAACCAGTCACAAATTTTGAGTTAAGATTGTAATTTTATCAGACCTGGATCGACTCAGATTAACAAATTACGAACTCATCCACGAATTCAACAACTTTATCACCATGCATTGTATTCACAATGCAAAAGGCACAAATATCTTCAAGATATTAACTTCAATCATATCTTTCTTATATTGTTACCATATTAGACATATTTAACAGCCTCATGTTCCATGTGCTTCTATGTTCCTTTACAAAAGTATCACAAACTGCGACATAGATATATAAATTTTATAATCCTATGTCCCATCGAGCAACACTGTGGCTGTTTAACACCTAGACTGCCTACCACAAGTATATTTGCGTTATCTAATGTATCAGTATCTGCTACTACAAGTTATCTTGCAGCTACATCAGAGGTATTTTAAAACAAATTTCACATGTTGGCAAATTAGCCAGAAGAAGCAGTCGTCAAATTGTTATATTCATCGAAGGACTCTCAAAACATGGCTGTTTTCTTTAATATTAATTCAGACAAGATATATCCTTTTTGAACCGTCCAGTAGACATGGATATCCAGTACACCTGCTGGACATTAAAACATTTTCATGATGCTAGCACTTTTGACAGGACACTCTTCTACTCCATTACAAAATTTGAATAAGAACAAGTCAGTAAGTGTTAAAAATATGAACAGATAAATTGACATCCTGTATTTCTTGACAACAAAGTAATGTCAAGTGATTCAATGTCTGAGCGTTGAGGGTGTTAAATACTTCCAATATGGTTCTTGCAGCAAGATGGAAACAATACTAATCTTCGGTGCAAATGCAACAAAAAGCCAAGCTTTAGATTATCAGCGAAGGTAACTTCTGTTTGTTGTGAAGGTCTGGCCCTTTCCTATATGGAAGAGCACTATTAGCTTTTGTGCTGAAACGATTAGACTGGTAAGACAAGTACTAACACATTTAACATCGTTATGAGGTAACCAGAGTGCATGTCTTGATCTTGAGACTCCGACGCATTTTGGTAATTCTCTACAATATTCAGGTTGTTTCATAATGGTTGGAAACAAACAAAAACCAACAACAAATTAGAATAATCTTCTCATTCAGGTTGTTGTCGTCTTTAACAAAACACATACTAGCACATTCCCAATTGTGATGCTTGATTTTGAGGTACACATCCGTCTTGAACAACTTGACGGAGAAAGCGTTGTTTATTGCACGTTATCATGTGATTGTGATTGTAACGGAATGTGTGGTGATTTCACTAAACGTGATTCATTTCACTTGACTCTATTGTTTGCGGACTGATGACACGTGACTGTAACACTGGCTCTCCACTCCCAGCAAGTTCATGAGCACTAACTGGGCTAACTGCTACTATACTGTTTACTGTGGTGTTCAGCGGTAAGGGCTGTAAACTTTCTATATGGTTGCCAGAGACACATTTTAAAGGTTCAGAAATACTTTTTTCCTTGTTTTCAGACTTCAGCCTTTTGGAAGGGGGCTCGTGTAAGTCTTCAGCACTGCCGTTTAAATTAGTGTCAGTTTTCACAGAGACAGACTCCGACTTGGACTGTGAGTCCTTGCGATCTGGACTTAGGGCTACAGCTGTCGTTGAAGCTGTACATACTTCAGACACTTTCTCCTTGGACTCTGGTGGACATGAGGCTTGTTCTTCAAGTTCTTGTTTAATGTGTGTTCGTTTTGGATCACCATAAATTAATGAATTGAGGTTGGGGCTGGCTGACCTGTCCCTTGTTGGATTCACAGCATCTTGGTCGTCCAGAAACCGATCCATGTAGTCCCTAAAGAGAAACAGAATTCATCATACAACTGGTTCTACTCAGGTGAGCGGACAATTCAGCATGATGCCACTTTGAACAGTCTGCTTTAAACATGCTGAAGTGACTCCTACAGTATTCAGACGTAAAGAGTAAATGATATTATGGAAAGAGCACGGCTGATGAAGACCTTAAATTCTGATCCTGTCAGATTTAACCATCCCTGATGCTGTACGTCAACAAGTTTTTGGTTTGTCCATTGTTTAACGCCACATTCAGCAATATCCCAGCTACATGGCAACAGTCTGTAAATAATTGTATCTGGACCAGACAATCATGTGATCAACATCATGAGCATCGATCTACGCAACTGGGATACAATGACATGCGTCAACCAAGTCAGCGAGTCTGACTACCCGATCCCGTTAGCAGCCTCTTACAACAAGCATGGGTTACTGAAGACCCATTCTAACCCAGATCGCTACAGGTTACGTCAAACAAGTAACGTGTACTTACGTGACTCCTGGATGTAAGGCATATTTCCTCTTTTCTAGTCTGTTTTTGTGGGCAAAGATATCATGCCGTTCTGTTTTCTTCCATAAGTAATAAAACTGGACTAATTCTCCTACAGACCGTGTCCGCACCTGTCACAAGAATATGTACAGATTTCTAAACATGACGTACATGTATGTGTGATGACAGCATCAATATTAGATTCAGTTCTTACATCATCTAAAAATGATCCCACCATTATGCTCTGATCAGACCTGTCACCCTCTACTTAATACTAAATTTGTTTGGTGTTCACCTCAGTCAGAATTATTTCAGTACATGACAGCAGCCCACAAATAATTGATCCATATTATGAGAAATGTCTCATGTCATCGAAGTAGTATTGTTGACTGGGATAGCAAACAACATTTACTCGACAAATTGACACTCGACAGAATTCAGATTTCCTACCTTGTTTTGCTGTATAAGATAAAAGTTTTTGCCATATGTTCTAAGTCCATTTTCAAAGTTCCTACATTCCTCCTCTGACCACAGGCTCATTGGATCTGCAACATGAATAAATGAGTGAGTGAGTGAATGAATGAATGAATGAATGAATGAATGAATGAATGAATGAATGAATGAATGAATGAATGAATGAATGAATGAATGAAGTCTACAAGACAATACTGATATTGGTTCTCTTAGCATGATAGATAGCGAACATCAGCTGAGTTGGGTAGATTACTCACCTGATGTTGGAACAGCTTGCATTTTCCGCCGTCGGAGGGCTTCTTCAACATTGTGCCCACATTGCAGTAGTAGGTACAACGCCTGGATGAAAATAGGTTAGTCAGAACAATAGAGAATTTCCGCCTTCACATGGAGTTGAGAAAACCATGGCTGGGGATTTAAATAAATCTTGCAAGAATGCGCTTAACAAAAACAAGACCATTTCCACAGCAATACATCACTGATGTTTTTCAAGGTTTATTTGCAATATGATATAATCTTCAATTAGAAAATCAGCATTAAAAGGCTAGTGAAGCCTGGTGCCCTGGGTCAATGTCAACAAGCTTATCTTAGCATTCATGGAAATGTAATTCCAATACTAAAGCACTAACTTCCAACAGGCATAGAGCGAAGATTAATCCTGGGCTCTTAAAGTGTGTATCTGTAGTACTGAAGCTAGGGAAACTCAAATCTTGAACTTTAAAGGAAACCCAAATCTTGAACTTTAAATGTCATGTCAGGTTCACCTTATAGAACATATTGATATCATGACAGATGTGATTTAAAATCTGAATTATTGTTCTGTTTTAACAACAACTTTGCCAACTATGAAGATGTCAGCAGCTTTCTGTTTATATTTTCCCAATTATTACAACTCTGTTGTGTAGACAGCTAAAACCTATGCTCACCTGCTCATCGTCTCTGACATGTGTCCCTGTTGGGATACAGTTTACACCCTGGGCATTCATGAGGTTCTGCTCGTGTACATCCTTCAAATACTTTTCCACTAAAACAGTCAAAATTGAACAATCATTAGTGATCTGGCAATAACTGAGTGAGGGAGTGAGGTGAGTGAGTGAGGTGAGGGTGGTGAGTGAGTGAGTTGAGTGAGTGAGTGAGTGAGATAGATGGGTGAGTGAGTGAGAGTGATTTGAGTGAGTGAGTGAGGTAGGTGAGTGAGTTGAGTGAAGTAGGTGAGTGAGTTGAGTGAGGTAGGTGAGTGAGTGAGTGAGGTAGGTGAGTGAGTGAGTGAGCTTTTAGCAACATTCCAGCAATATCACAGCGGGGGACACAAGAAATGGGCTTCAAACATTGTACCCATGTGGGGAATCGAACCTGGGTCTTTGGCGTGACGAGCAGACGCTTTAACCACTGGTCTACCCCACAGCCCCTTTGATGAAATGAAGAATGACAAATTACTTGTGAGAATTAAACTGTAAAATATACCTGTATCATTTTCTGTCTTGCTTGGATTCCATAATAATCTGTCTTCATTTTCATATGCTGCAAAATGACAACATTAACATCTTGTTACGATGGAGTTTCTTTTAAGAACAAAAAAGAACCTTGTGCATCCAGCAACTTAGTTTTGTTCATTTCAACTTTTGAAAAAAAGTTATATATAGCCTCTGGTCTGGAGCCGGAGTCAAGTGCAATTCTGTTCAGCCTAGTTAGCTCTGCTAACTATTAGGGCACATAACAACACTGAATTCTAAGAAAATTAAGCTAATGGCCAAATTCGGGCTACGATTCTCGGCTTTTCACACAGACTAGAATAACATTCTAACACATCATTGTGATGCAGTATTATCATGTTTTAAAGAGGGAAGACAACAGATATATATGTCTTATAGTCCTGCTATATAAAGATAGACTTACCCGGAGCATCCCCATACTTGCTGAGACCCTCCGGCACCACGGCTTGGTAATCATGACCCACTTGTATAACCTGCACAGAACACACAAACATCAGCAGGGGTGGAAATAACCCATTGCCCGACGTCCGTGTCCACTGTTTTTTTCTGTCGGGCAAGCAAATTTGTATATCAACCTGTACCGGTGTCCAGTTGACTTTCCTGTGTTAATTATGTTGTCTATTTAAAAAAATCAGCAAGAAAACGGTTGGTATAGTGGACAAATTAACAGGGCAAGTGACTTTACATGTGCCACTGTATCGGAGTACACTAGCAATGTTAAAGTTATTTCCACCCCTGATCAGCAAGATCCAGACTCGTTTCTTTCTCTGACAGTGTTTCCTGTGGCTTTGCTTATACAGACTGGCAGTAATTGAAAATAATTCATTACTCGCAACTTTTCACCAGTCCACCGGGCAACTTTCCATCATGTACCTTTTGAACTCAATTTGAAGAGACCTGAGTCTAGACTTGCTCTAAGGCTCATATTAGAAACCAAACCTGGAGCCAATGTCAATTCCCAGCTTGGAATACAAAATTTCCAAATTTGTGTAGTTATAGTTACAACCAGTGTTACTGTCTTTTAGAGCTGACTTGTCCTTAACTGACTTCAGGACCAATAACAAGGATTAAAAAAAACTTCTCTTGGTAATTTTACACTATTGCACTGATGCAATACCTCCTAATTTTAGAAACTAATAACTTCAACAGAAGTTTTTCCCCAGTTTGCCTGCCTAGGGTACTTTGTTTCGAATCCTATATAAATCCCTGGTCTTTCACTGTGGCACCTTGGTACATGAAAGTTCAAAATGCCTCACCTTTTTCCAGTCCTCTTCGTGTTCTGGTTTGTAATCGACATCTTCTTCTGAGTCTTCCGAGTCATCTTCACTCCCTGGTCTGCTGCTTGCTGCAGTTGACAAAGCATTTGTTTCATGATGCAATATCACAATTCTCTTTTATAGTCGGTTTTCAAAATAAGCATCAAAGTGGACCTGTGTAGATCTGGGTTAGAATTATTCTTCAACAATCCATGCTTGTCGTAAGAGGGATTGGGTAGTCAGGCTTACCAACTTGGTTGACACAAGTCACCTTTCCCAATTGCATACATCGATGCTCATGCTGTGTATCATAGGACTGTCTGGTCCACACTCGATTATTTACAGACCATTTTGCTGAACTCAATACATGTGCCACTAGAACTCGAAAGTATGGATTCTCAGGACAGGTCAATATCCCAAAATGTATAGATTGTGCTGAGAGAAAATATATATCCAAACATCATTGTGAGATGAAAGCCCACAGTGATGTCTCAGACCTTTATCACTTTATTGAAACCAATGAGCAGTAGTATAGGGTTTGCACCCATGATCATAAATGTCACAGCACACCTTTTTAGCTTTCACAATTTAGGCTGTTAAAATCAATGCAAATATAGAAAACAGATGCCCTCATCACTCATGCTTGACAACACAGTTGATGAGCATTTTAAATTAAAAGACAAAATTTCAGTATCTTACATCTCAAAAGCCTGGCTGTGTGTGATGTAGCAACGGTTTCAAACAGGTCAGTAACGCTGGTTTCTTTGTCATCAGCTTCACTGTTGTTCTTGAGCAAATCTCGGGCAATCTCATCTTTATCAAGGGTAAGGTCATGGTTACTAAGAATCTCTTCCTCGCTGCTGGATCGTGTGTTATCATGTGCATCATCCTCATTGGGCTGACCACATCCATACATGGCTAGCAGATCTTCAATAGGCATGTCCCCTTCCTTCAAAAAAGAAGACGACATTTCTTCGATTATTTTAACATTTCATGGATACTTCTTGATCCTTAAATCACATTCATGTTCAACATATTAAAGATTTCATGGGAAGGTTCTGTCATTGCATACTGATCAGCGTTAAACAGACCCTCTCAACTACTCGTCCAGGGGTGGGGGTCAAGTGAGTGAGTGAGTGAGTTTAGTTTTATGCCACACTCAGCAATATTCCAGCTATATGGCAGCGGTCTGTAAATAATCGAGGTCTGGACCAGACAATCCAGTGATCAACAGCATGAGCATCGATATGCGCAACTGGGAACCGATGACACGTGTCAACCAAGTCAGCGAGCCTGACCACCCGATCCCGTTAGTCGCCTCTTACGACAAGCATAGTCGCCTTTTGTGGCAAGCATGGGTTGCTGAAGACCTATTCTACCCCGGATCTTCACGGGTCGGTGGGGGTCAAGCCTTGTGGCTAGTACGTTTGCTCACCACATGGAATACCTGGGCTCAATTCCACACATGGGTACAATGTGCAAGGCTTATTTCTGGTGTTTGCCACCGTGACATTGCTGAGACTGAGACTGAGACTGAGACTTACCTTTGCTAGATCATCTAGTTCATTAGAACAGCTTTCTCCACTAAGGGCTTCTTCCTCGTCTAGAGTGTGCTCGTCATCATAATCATGAACTAGCATGTCTGCCGATGGATCGAAGTCTTTGTCAGTTTCTACAAATGCATGGAAAGAAAGTACATTAATCACTTCAACAAAAAGCTTTTTAACAAAACCCCAACAAGGTCAACTTAAAATATCAGCATAATGCTAAGAGTCACAATTATTAAGGATTTCAGTGATGGCAATAAAGGAACTGTGCTTGTGCCAAGAAACCCTACAGTTCGGTCCTCTTGTGAAAACAAAAAGAAATGGCTATGTTCAAGGTTGTGCCTAATTTTCAATTTCAAACAGCTATTGGGAGTGCCATGACATCAAATATCAACTGATAAAGACAGGGCAACACATGTAAACACGAATTCAAATTTAAGCATATAGGTCAAAAAGTCCTTGCCAGAGCCCCAACAATAAAAGCTAAAGATCAAGGGTGTCTCTAGCAGGCTTTTATCTCAATGTAGAAAACTAGGGATCCAGAGGGTCCTTGCAGAAACAAATGTGGGTTTTATAAAGTAATGATCATTACTTCAAGTACAAGAATCTTATATTTCTTGCTATGAATTTGGTACAATGAAAACTATAGTGCATCCCACAGGAAGCAACATATTTTTTTTGCAGTGTCCTTTTTCTATGCGTGTGCAAACTGAACACACATTTCTGCATAGCTTAAAGCCCTGCCCTAGATTAAATACTTTGGGCATAGCATTATAGAAATAAAACTGTCCTACGGTCCTCATTTTCTTACTATTTGCTTATGCAATTTCATGTTTGCAAAATCCATTAAAGACAAAATCTTGGGAGTGTGGGAGTAGAACTAAGCTGCAAGGCCAGGTATATAATAATAATATAATAATATGTGTATTTATAATGCGCTGAATTCCACACATAAGGCATGCTCAAAGTGCTACATATTTACAAATATTTACAAAGCAAAGGTTATGCTAGAATGAGGGTGAAATTTTTGGAAAGTTGAGTTATAGATTGTAATATTTTCTGAAAAGATGGGTTTTCAGGGAACTTTTAAATGAGTCATTGGAGGGAGACATTTTGAGTTCAGTCGGGAGTTGATTCCACAACTGTGGCTGACTGACTGAGTTTGATATCGCCGCTTTTAGAAGGAGCAACATCAACCCAGAAATGGGCTTCACATTGTACCCATGTTTCTGTCTTCGGCGTGGCGGGAATTAGGTACCCCACCGAGTGGAGCACCATAGCTGAAGGTGTCTAGTTTCTGTCTGGGAATGGTGAGAAGGTGTCTATCTGCCGATCTTAACATTCTGGAAGGATTGTGCTTGGTGACTAGCTCAACAAGGTAGTCTGGAGCCGTAAGATGTAACACTGGTAGGCAAGACCCAGGACCTTAAATTCAATTCTGGCTCTGATTGGTAGCCAGTGAAGTGACTTAAGAACAGGCGTTATGTGGATCCTAGAGGGAACTTTGCTGACAAGTCGAGCTGCAGAGTTTTGTACTTTCTGGAGTTTCGAGTGAACCAGAGATCGCACCAGTGCATGAGCTGCCGCTGTAGTAAGGGAGCTTCATATGATTCCGTGGTACTTACGTTTCCGTGGTATTTTCTAATGACATAATTTCTCACGAGCCACTCGCCAAATCGCGCCACCTATCGATTGTTTACGTTCATCAGTTGATCGGCACGGGTCTGAACAAAAATGTTCAGACTTTCATCAATTTGCGTATGTACAGTCATCTACTATTAAAAACTAATGCAACTTTATGTCTAGCACGTAATGCATTTTTTGGTGATCTTTGCAAACATATTCTATAAACTTACTCAGCTTCAAAGTTTTCCAAACATCGCTCGTCTGCTAGCTGATGTCATCAATAAAAACAATCATGTGACCTAAGGGGGGAATCCCAGCTCTATTTTTTAAACTATAGAAGCCCGATAGGGTCATCTCTTAAGTTGTTTTTTCACTTTTCATTTCATGTATCCCGTATCAACTCTACATATTCTATGAACTGGAAATTTATGCTGAAGAAATGTGACTATATTGTGTAAATTCTACAAAATCGTTTACTGTATTACAATTTATCAACTTCGATATTACTGTAAACCTACATTGACACTCCCGGATTGGCTGTTGACAACGTGTGAGATTGTGACATGTGCTGTGCGCCCTTAATTTGATCTGAAGGAAATACCACGGAAACATATGACGTCACCAGAGTTTGTGCACAATGGCCGCCTGTCGTCCGATACGGACAACAATGAACTTCAGAATGACAAAAGTGTTTTATTGACATTAAATGATACAAAGGTATGTCGTCTAACACTATATTATGTTTATATGACTTGGCAATATGAGCGATCATATTCATAGTCGTAAATTTCTTAATACCACGGAAACCCATGACGCGAGGGTATAATCATTATTAACTACTGGTATTTATTTACAGAAACACCATAAAATTTAACTGGCTGTCAAACAGTTGTGTTTCAAAAGCTTGAATCAAATTTGCTGAGACTGTCAATTATAGCAAGCATTCAATAACCAATGTTAATCCAGCATTCATTATCATGCATGCCAAAGCAAACAGCACACAAGAAGATCAATATTTTATCTGAAAAGTTCCAAGTCTGGTTACCTGACTGAACATACTGAACCCTAAACTTAAATGATGACAATCATAAAGATTGTAAATATAGACATTACTAATGTTCAGTGTCATATTAATTGAAATGGACAAAAATGTCGTTTATTTCATTGACAGATTGATAGAATGCTGAATACCTGATTACAATCATAACTTAAAAAATTGTAAAAGGTGAAACTAGAAAGCATTAAGAGCCCACTCCTGTGATTAACATTGATATGATTACATGAACAGTTTGAAAAAGGAAGTTTGAACATTGAAAAATATTATTGTAGTGATTAAGAGACATGTTCATGAAAACTGTCTGTAAGAGCATGATGCAAACAAAATACAAATCTATCATCTTCTATCATCAAATAAATATCATATACTCTGAACAGTTATTTGTTATAACCATTATTCAGTAGATATAGTCGAAAGCTGACAAGTCATATATGACAGCCAAGCCAGAGACCAGGTAGGCGAAATGTCAAATTTGGTACCGCGGGTTTTTAATCTGGAGTATCGCTACCTAATGAAAGTTATCAACTTAAAACATAAGTAGTTTAAGTAAAACATCTTTGATAATTTACTTATAAAACCTGACGTAAGTAATTCCGAGAAAGGGGGAAACCCTGACGTGCACCAATCACACACGTCAGAGGGGGCTATCCCCGTCAATGTCCCGAAGCTAATTTGCATAAGCTGTTGCACGCGGGAGATCCCAGTCATGAAAATTTCACAGTGCACTCACCAGGGCTGCTCGATTCGCTCCCTGCCGGCTGAAAAAGATATCAAAATCAAAATTATTTGGTGCAAATTAAAAATACATGTCATCGAGGTCATCTTAAGCGTTGTCAATGCAAAACAAATCCCGGCAAGCGATGTCAAATCTTTCCCGCGATTTGACGGATCTGAAACATCAGTAAACTCTACCAGTTCAGCCTATGTCGGGCCAAGTCGCCAGCGATAAAATAATAAGTCACTAATCAAGCAAAAAACAGCAATCGCGAAGCTGATAAAATCTGTCGAGATGAGATCAAAAGGAAATTCCATCAAATGTACATATTATGAAGCCACAAACCTCCGCCATTTTTCCACAATTATGGGATAGATTCAAATCGAGGCCAAATCGGGCACTGACGTGCGTATTTATTTTGTAAGAGGCCATTTGATTGGCTTTATTCACTTCCCAATGAAAATTATAAAATGGCAAAATACTTTCAAATACTACTTTATTTTGGACATGTTTATGCTATAATTTAGTTTGTTTCTTAGTTTACACAATGTTATAAGGCATATTTGTGTTATTATTGAATAGTTTCATATTTAACGTTGTTTAATGAAGCGAACTCATTTTCTTTCTGGCCAATGAAAATCGTCGTATCATCTGGCCGTCCGTTTCTCATAGCAACATATCCACAATGGCGTATCTTGCGTGTGGTGCATAGTTTGAACGTAGAATTCTGAAAGAGAGATCCTAGTTTTGCGAAGATGTCTACTGGGAAGCCAAAAAAACATCTCGCACCTGGGTAATTCTGATTATGTCATTCTCACTGCTTAACATATTTGGTTTGAAAGTGTCATTTCTTCGATGTAAATTTGTCACTGTAAGCTCTGACAAATATCATTTTTTTTATGTTCACCTTTGAAAAGTAATGGATATTTAAGGGTACTGTCTCAAGAAAGGTAATGTGGCTTTCGAAAGTTTGGTTAACTTCGACAGTACGTTTTTTAGGGTAAAGTATGAACCAGGGGTAAGAGTTCCGCCGGTAACCCCCGCTTGACATGTTTGCTATTTATTATGATTATTTCTAGGGGTTAGGATTTAGGATAAGCGTTTAGATTTAGCAATATGTCAGGGTTAGGGTCTGGGTAGGCTTTCGATAAAAAAACATCTTTTCTTAGGTATAGAGTTATTAAAAAACACGGGGGTTACGGGCCCCACTAAATTTTAACAATGAGGATAAATTTCTTTGAGTAGCATTTTCAGAAGTTGGATATGTCTTTCAGTATATTGAGATACAATTAAAGAAACATATTAAAATTCATCCTTATCAGATGAGGGATATATATTCAGGTGATATTATTTGACTAGAATTGAATTTAAGGTTGATAAGGGCGGAAGTCTTACCGATAATTCATTTGGCATAAATAAATGCTTGAGTAAGACTGTTGAACATAAATAGTACATGTGAGCAAAGATCCAGGTAAAATTCTAATTAGTTTGTACAGCATAAGAAATGCCAGTGATGATAAATCATGCTTATTTATTCAAGTATCCTCATGTTATGGGTTTTCTGACACTTAAGAACATCTGTTGTCCCCACGATTATCGCATGAATAATTGCAAAACATGTCACTAACTTATGAAAGATAACTCGACCCTAAACACGAGCATTCAATAGTTTACAATGTCTGTGTGTTGCAACACCCCTCGTTACAGCCCGAGTGAGCACTGCTATCCAAAAGCTTGGCATATGTTGAGTATGTGCTGGGAGAGTTAAAATTTAATGCTGGTTCAGCATTGATACTGAGTATGGAACAGCTCAGACCATATCTGTGTTAGAGTTCCAGCCTGGTTTTGATTTCTGAAATTGCCTTGCAAGTGACAGGAACCTGAATCCTTTCATAATCCGACTGATTTTCTCCAAATTATGATTTGATTTGAAAATTCTGCCTGTTTGGGAAAGTAAGAATCTAAGTGTTTGAAAACAAGAAATGTCATTTAATAAGTCTAACTTCAAGAAACTGAATCCTTTCATGATCCAACCAATTGTTTCAGCAGTATTTTCTCCAAATTCTGAAATGATTTGAAAATGGTGCCTGTTTGGGTAAAGTAAGAATGTATGGGCAAGTGGATGAAAATAGGAACTGTCATTTAGTAAAAATAAATTCTTCTGTAAATAATGCATAATACAAGTTCAGGCAGGTAGACTTAAAAGTATTTGGCACTAATTGCACTTAAAATCGTATATTTCTTGCCACATTCATTATATGGGGGAAGTAACTGAAATTTTGAAGAACTGAACCCACAACCTATGATCACCGAATAAAATTTTTAAAAATTCAGAAATTGAAAAGAGTTTGTCAATGTCAGTGAAAATACAAATTACATTTTTATATTATTTTGTAAAGTGACATTTAACAAGTTCAAAGATGGATAATCAAATTTGTCATCTGTTGTTGCACACATAAATTCCAGAGGGAACTTCTAGCCATCTTCATGAGATCCCTGTTTTACATTTAATAAGTTGTACAATTAAAGGTTTTGAATAAATATATATACTCTTATTATTCAATGTTTCAAGCTTGCAGCAAAATGTTGGACAGAGCACAACATCTAAGAAAAGCAACGCCACTCACTCAGTGACCAGAAGCAAGTATGGTGGTGGAACGCGGAACACAGTCTTCGGGAGTTCCAGAAGTAACCTGGTGTCTTCCGCCAGTCGAAGAGTGTTGGAGTAGCAGCCAGCGAGAAGTCAGTCAATGTCAAGATACCTGTTCAGGTGAGACTTGAATGGCATACCTTGTAAACCTCATGCTGAACAATCAGTTGTTTGTAGTATGATGTTGTTTGTTATTTATTGATTTATGAATGTTGTGCTACTTAATCCATGTCTCTCTCATTTTTTTTGCTAAATTGTCAGTCAGTTTTTGGTGTCATTGGTATGTATGATTGTAATTACTGATTTTCACATAACCATTGAAAATATTTGTTGTTAGTGATTTGGTAGGTATGAAGTGATGGCAATTTATCAGCCATTTCTCCCTGTAAAGTATGAATTGGATGAAAATGGAGATATTATTATAAACTGAACTGACACAAGCTCGAAAATGTCATCCTCAATAACCTCCAGGGCATACGCTCCGATAAAACTCCACTATACCCTTGATGCATCTACTGCCCGGCCCAATGATTTTATTACCTCCCTTGGCTGGCTCTGCATTTCTCACAGTAGCCAGTCAGATAAGCCGCCGTTACAACCAACCTTACCAGTGTCAACAAAGATAGCGGTCGCAGCCACGAAAGTTTGTTCGTAGTGCTACTCAGATTTTGGGGACATCATACAGACAAATTGACAGGTCTGACACCTTTAAAAAATATATGCAAAACTCCTACCTCTTTCAGAGTACCTCTGCAACAATTGTGTTGCCAAGTTTAACACGGTTTAAAAATATATAAAAGAAGCGAAAGTGAGTTGTGATTGGTACGCTCAACATCCCAGCGTAGACACCTGATTGGATAAAAAGCCAGCCAAGGGAGGTAATACAATCATCGAGGATGGAAAATGTAAATGAGATGATAAGAGGTTTCCTCATCATACAGACGGCATGCTTGATTACTTGATTGTCATCTGTGGGATAAACCTACATGCATTCTCTCCTTCAGTGCATCTTCAGTCACTTTTTTCAATAAATTCATATATTTGTCCACTGTGATGGGTCCTTTAGTCATGATGAATCATGAATTCGAATCCCTGGTTCCCTCTCTGAAATGATTCTTGGCTTGACAGCACCGTAACCATGCTCCTGTGTTTAACTAAAGTGGTACATGTCTGGGACCTGCTTTACCTCAGATGATGTTTGTGGATTTTCAGGTGGTTGATGAGGCTGGGAATGATGTGACACCTATCTCTCTTCTGCACCTTGACCCTAGCGTGGTCAAGAAAAATCAGAGTAACCTTCTTGGTGACAGCTCAGGTGGAACGGTGAGTTGGCAACTGATAATTTTGTCCAAATCTGCTGGGTACACTACGTCAAATGAAATATTACTAGACTGAAGTAAACAATCTAATGCATGACCCATGTCATGTACTAAAGGTAATGACTTTTATCATCAGAATGACAGATAAGCATGTACTTATATACATTTCAGCCCACCGACCTGTCACAGGCATCACAGTCAATCTATGGCTTTGGCACTGTCAACCAAAGTGCCTATGGTGGAGGCCCATTCACAAGGTATGCCTAGTGTTGTGTATGGTGAATAATAGATGAAATAGTCACAGGGTACGTAAAGCTGGGTTACTTCCCTTGATTCTCCAGCTTAGGTTCTTTTCACTGCTGAAATAGACCGATCCAGTCTGTCAATCAAAACTGGCGCATGCGTCAATTTTGGCCAATCAGCAGGCCGGGCGCGCTGTGTGGATTTGTCAGACTTATTTCCGGGGTCAAACGATGCCTCCGAAGCCATGTGCTTCGAATTATGCCATTTACACTCGCTATATTTATTACATATTGCTGCGATTTGATGTGTACCTTTAACAAAATCATTACTGTCAAGACAACAAAAATGGAGGCGGATCAAGAAGCGCGATAGGCCTAACAATCAGTTAAATGTCTGCACCATCGTTCAGGAAACCTACGTCTGCCTGCTGATGAGAATTTGCACGAATTTCCACACTTTTGCACATGTGCAAAATCATTACCAATTGATGACAACAAATAGCAGTTTAAGACTTTGCAAGTGTTATAAACACGGACAATTCTTGTACCTACAAAATTGTTTTTGCTTAACGTTTTTAGTCACTACTAGGCATTGAGTTGGTACGCCATAAAGCTCAAATGAGACAGGCGAGAAAGCCGTGACACAATGTAAACAAATCTCCATTTCGGTTAGGGTTGACCGAAATAGCAAAACTTGTTACATGAAAGAACAATGTGGCGGATATTGACCCCTTCGCTCTTATATATTTATTTTTCAATTTGTCACACATTTTAGGATGTTTTAAGTTTCATAAGCACAATCTGAAGGCCTACAGTATCTTGTTAACAGAGCAAAATATTCGAGGAGTCTGAAATATTTAAAGCATGGTTTCATAGGCACTCATATGAACTAATTTTGATACTTGGATATTGCATGATAGGCAACTGCTAACACTGACAATATTTCCGTTTGAATAAAAAATATTATTTTTTATAAAGAGTTGCATAGGACTTTGAATTGAATTACCTTCCTCCATGTTGATCGAATACAAAAACTATGTGAGAAGAATAGTGACTTTCTGGAGTATTGGACGGAGTGAAATAAAGTGTTTATCTTAATTATGAGAACATTATTTGAAGTTTTGTTACCACATAAATTATTCACATATATTGGTACATGTTAGGAGTAATATTACAACTCTAATTTTGATTAATTCACTGGAAATGATAGCAAGGTATGTTTTAAGAATCTTGCTTTTTTAGTAAACGTGGAAGGGTAATAGAATTAATAATAATCTAATCAATAATAAATAATTATTATTTTTCCTTATCCTGACTCATGCTCTTTTTGCTTGTCTTCTTCTTCTTGCGAACATAGTGTAACACTTGTATCTCCCTAATTGAAGCTCCCTTCAATGTAAAATCACTAATTAGTACTCACCACGAGTTACCTCCCTTCCACAAGCTCGGGAACGAGGGCGCCACCTCCACCCATGTGCCTCACTCTCTCCTTCGCCCAGTGAGCTGGACGTGAGAGCGCCTGTGTCTCCCGACACACTATATCCTTTGATTATATTTAGTTAGTTACCTCGTGATAGACATCTATAGAGGTTTAGCTAGTATCCTTCAACAATTATATATTGATATTTAGTCGTGTTTCTACTGTTTATTCACGGACGCCGCGGTTTGTTTCAGTGGATTACGTTGATGAAAATTCTGTACTGTTGCAGATTACGCTTTTTATTCTGCTGCTGATCCGCATTTAATATGCCCTAGTTGTACTGCGCCATGTTCATTTTATTCACGCTGCAGTTGCGTACTAATTTATCCAATTCTGCCTTTATAAATATTTACTTTGGCGCTTGAGACGCCGCAGCAGATAGGTCGCCAGATGCAGAGTCTAGCATGACTGGATACACCTGAACCCCTCGCCAGTCTACTGCTGTTGGTCAACCCCCTCCTGTGTGGTGTTCCGCTAGAGTGGTGGAGAGGCGTGGACGAGTCCGCTTCCAAGAAGCGCCCTGCTTCCCCAGACATCCCATCGCCGCAGCCGAAGACTAGAGGGTTTCTACTGCATCTCAACGCAGACTTCGCACCCCCAGGGCAGCATCGACCTCTGAGGGGAAATCAACGAAGTCTACTAGAACTTTCTCAGCCGAGATTGTTCCCATCGCAGATTTGGGCCTGTATGATGATCAGCCGATCATCATACCTGATGTACATCAAAAGAATGACCGATGTCGGCAACAGTGATGTCAGCGCAGATCAACATGCAGCCTGATGTACCAACGCTGATATTCGATGATCTTCCTGAGGGTCCCGGCCACTACCAACACTCAACACAGACTTCGCGACCCCCAGGGCAGCCGACCGACCTCTGAGGGGAAATCAACGAAGTCTATTAGGACTTTCTCAACCGAGATTGTTCCAGCCGCTGAACTGGGCCTCTACGATGATCAGCCGATCATCATCCCCGACGCACGCCACAAGAAGCGACCGGTGACAGCTACAATGACATCAGCAGAGATCGCCATGCAGCCTGATGTCTCTACACTGATGTCAGACGACTTCCCTGAGGGCCCCACTGCTAACATCGCAGAGAGGGCACCGACTACTTTGTCGCAGACCATCCCAGATGAACTGTTGCGGCAAATCATGATCATGATGGAGGGCCACTACAGACTGGAGAAGCAGCCAGCCCAGGGCCTGAGCCTTCGCGAAGGTTCCAACGCAGACGACACCCCAGAGGCACCCCGCGTCAGCGTAGCAGCCACGACGAAGCCACCTTCGCTGGCGAAGTCGCAGACCACCTCGACGGCGACCTTAGATGTACAGCCTTCAGCGAAGGCGGATAGATCATCACCTTCCTCGGCTACATCCTTAGATGCAGACTCAGACCACCAGACCACACGGAAGCCTTCGCGAAGGTCAAGTCGCCATTCCCCAGGACCGGACGCAGAGGAAGCTTCGCGAAGGCCTTCGCGAAGGACACCTGACCACAGACCGTCATCGTTCAGAAGGACTTCGAGGGACTACACAAGAGCTTCGCGAAGCTATCAACATTCTCCTCACAGGTCTCCGAGAAGGTCAACCCATAGACGCAGATCACCAAGACGATCGCCTTCAAGCCATCACGCGCGATCTCCTCGTGACATCACCACGCCGACGCCTCACAGGTCACCACACAAGTCTACAGTCAGGTCTCCCCGAGCGTCACCCGACATAGAGATAGAAACACACAGTCCACTATCAGAAGAGCATCAACCTCTCATCAGCGATGCTGGGATAGAAGATGATAGAGGCATCATTTTCTCAGACGCTGAGATACGATATTGGATGGTAAACAACCTAGATCTCTCTTCACCTTCCAAGAGTGGCAACTCGGCGCAGACATACCTGATGAAGGAAGACGATGCAGACACCATCACCTTACCTCCGATCGACCGATTATTGCTGCGGTGCCACAGAATGAGGACACAGCCTACCATAAAGCCATGAAAGTTCAAAACGCCAGAGGCGTATGTTCTTGGTCTTAATAGATCTAGAACGATCAATAAGATTCTTATCACCAGATTTCGTGACACCTACTTCTGAAGATGATAGGATGATCTACTCGGCTCTACTTATGCAGAATCAGCAAGAACCACACCCTGTATGAAGCTAACGCCATATATTGTTCGGACTATAAACACTTCGCTAAGGAAGTCCCAGGTCACCTCGCTAAGGAGCTAGAGCCTCACCAGTTACAAGGGACGCCGCTGAGGAGTAGCGCCACCGACCCCCACATCCTGTTAAACACAGAGGCCGCTCATGAAGCAAGCGCATATATATATATATATACTAATCGGGCTTTGATTCGATACCTTCGCTAAGGTCGTCGCTGGCTAAGTGGCTCCAAGTCTACTTCACCCAGAAGATCTAGAAGGATACTTCGAGAGCTTCGCTAAGTCTCCGGCGCTCACCGAGGAAGTCTCCTCCAAGGTCTCCATATACTCAGCCACTCGTCATATATAGCTACTCGTCAGTCCGTTCAAGACATCGATAAGTTGTCTATCAACTGTATGCCAGATGCCGTCTATAAGCCTACGCGAAGACAATTGCACAGGCTATTTACAACACAGAACGTCTCTGTATTAATTAGTCAACGACGTTTCATAGATCTTCACAGAAATCAACTGTTCCGTATAGATGGCTAGAATATGCAATCCCGGACGACGATACGATTATCTACATGCGTGACCATTACGCATATCTGCAGACAATTCAATATCGAAATTGAACAGCAGCCTTGTTACAGCGAGTATAACTCATTATATAGAAGAAATATGTACAACAAGTTCAGCTTTAATGCTACAATTATGACGATACATTCATGTATACAGTCTACAAGCTGACAACTTGCAAGTTTATTGTACCTTTATATAAGGAAGTCGGAATTATATTCAAAACTGAAGTTACTTTCACGACAGCCAGGAAAATAACCTACCCAGCATTAATATTACAGAGCGAGGTATTTCGCCCCGGAGATTCGCTACTTACCATTAACCCTCAAAACACGTGGTCACTCGGGTAACTTCGAAGTTACGGTGAAGACCGACGATTATGCTAATATCAACGACGGCAAGATTTTATACAAGGTTTTTCCTGCTACACCGGTGACATCACAGCTGGTATTCTACAGAATCAAAATGCCTTGTTCTGATTGGACCGCTGATGGACAACGACTCCACGCAGAGGTCGATCTTAGTTCACAGTTCAAGACTTACGCTACAAGTGACAACTATATATCAGTGAACGAGCAAGCCTCCTTACAGTCCAGTTAATCTGAACCTTCATGATTGGGCTGCTTTCTTCAGGTTAGAGACCTCCCTGTCAAGTTAGGACGAGGCACGGCAGTCAGGCTGCATTTTACATAAAGTTCAACGAGGACAGACACACCTGGTTGTGCACCTACATCGTCAAGGACTTCGCAGCTTTAATTACCTAGACGACGGGATACAAGTGGATCTAAATCCACAGCGCCTCAGACTACAGCTGAATTTCATCATCTAGCTACTAACACAACTAGATGGTTAGTAAACCTACTTAAGCTTTCTGATTGGAGAATTAAAATGAAAGTTTCACGCCCAACTTGGGATCTGAATATAGTGCTCCAACACCTCACACAGTGAGGTTTATGAACACGCCTGGATGACATACTTGGACTCCATGATACGATGATTCTATCACGATGGCCAGCAAGAGCACTGTAAATTTATCTCCACCGAACCAAACAGGAAGGAAAATGCAACAGATTATTTCCTCTATCATCAACTTACGCAGAATGAAGTCTCACGCACTATATCTCCGCTTGGATCAGAACTGTCATACTAACGTGCATATACAAGACGGATGGACCTAATCCGACCCTCCATGAGCTTTTAATACTCATGATATTAGAGCTTAACTTCTACAATTGATCTACACAAATGTTTTGAAATAATGGAGGGTTTATTTCTGGAGATCCGATATGGTGGTGCCAACCATTATCTGAGAGATATCACCACCGAGGACGCCTCAGGTATCCACCAATTCGATCCCATGGTCCTCGCACAACAGTTGACAGTTCTCTCGAGAAGATAAGTCAATCTTACAGATTTCTACTTATCTTATAACAGTACTAAATAGCTACATGCTATATATAATTTGCTTAAGTTCCTTTATCATCACAGTACTATGATTATTACATCATACAATATATAAGTTAACAACTCTACAGAGTTTGTTATATATTTACCTTAAGTTAATCATATCTTAAGAGTAGTACTATGGTTACATGATAAATGCATTAGCTATACAAACTCTACAGAGTTTTTGGCTATTATATACGTAGCTTAAGTTAATTATATCTTAAGCATAGTACTATACTCATATTGTAAAAATATATTAGCTAACAAACTCTACGGAGTTTTGCTATTATATAGGTAGCTTAAGCTTATTCATATCTTAAGCTCAGTACTATGTTTATATCATATAAGTATATTAGCTAACAAACTCTAAAGAGCTTTTAGCTATTTGGCTTAAGTGTCATCATATTTTAAGCTTTATGGTTACATTATAACATGTATTAGCTAACAAACTCTACGGAGTTTTTGCTATTATATATGTAGCTTAAGGTTTCCTTCATAAGCTCAATACTAGGTTTATATCATATAAGTATTTTAGCTAACAAACTCTAAAGGGTTTTTTGCTATTATACAATTAGCTTAAGTTTCATCATATCTTAAGCAGTATGGTTACATTATAAAATGTATTAGCTAACAAAACTCTACGGAGTTTTGCTATTATATATATAGCTTAAGTTTAATCATATCTTAAGCTCAGTACTATGTTTATAACATAAAAGTATATTAGTTAATAAACTCTAAGGAGTTTTTTTGACATATACATTTAGCTTAAGTCTAATCTTATCTTAAGCTTAGTACTATGGTTACATTATAAATCTATTAGCTAATAAACTCTACAGATTTTTTGGCTATTGTATATGTAGCTTAAGTTAATTATATCTTAAGCACAGTACTATACTCATATTGTAAAAATATATTAGCTAACAAACTCTACAGAGTTTTGATATTATATAGGTAGCTAAAGCTTATTCATATCTTAAGCTCAGCATTATATCTATATCATATAAGTATATTAACTAACAAACTCTAAAGAGTTTTGCTATTATATAATTAGCTTAAGTTTAATCATATCTTAAGCTTAGTACTATGTTTATATCTTAAAGTATTTTAGCTAACAAACTCTAAGGAGTTTATACTAGCATATTAACAAGCTTAAGTCTATTAGTCTTAAGCATTGTATTAATGTTATATATACTTTATCATAATAAGTACATTGTAATAACCTTTATATGGCAGCTGATAAGTTAGCAGCAGGAATTCATCAGTTCAGTGCCTTTATGAAGTTCCCATAGGGTTATTACAATCATCACAGTTCAAATCACTAATTATTAAAATCCAAAGTATTATATATTCCCACCTCCTTTTCCGTCAAATTCTACAAGCAAAAAGAGCATGAGTCAGGATAAGGAAAAATATGTAATTTTTAGAGTAAAATTGATATTTTATACTTATCCTGACTCATGAGATAAGCCCTCCCATCCTCCCCACATAACACTTTGGATTTCCCTGTAAATTCAAATGTTGGGCTCAGTATATGAGGAGAGAGTGAGGCACATGGGTGGAGGTGGCGCCCTCGTTCCCGCGCTTGTGGAAGGGAGGTAACTCGTGGTGAGTACTAATTAGTGATTTTACATTGAAGGGAGCTTCAATTAGGGAGATACAAGTGTTCCACTATGTTCGCAAGAAGAAGAAGACAAGCAAAAAGAGCATGAGTCAGGATAAGTATAAAATATCAATTTTACTCTAAAAATTACATTAATTGATTGACATATCAGATTCTTATGATTTTAAGGCAGAACTAGGCAAACAAACACCATACATATCATGGCAGGACAATCACTAGGTATTAACTTAGTTTCTTGGATCCCGCTTTAGATGTTTTTTTAAATACTTCTGAAAGTGATTGCTAGTATCATAACTCATTAAAGTTGTTTCAACATCCAGAGAATTTGAAAAAGCAAAAGCTACGTTTGGGTCAAACCCTGGTCAGGCATTATCCAGTCCTGGAACAGAATAACTTACAAATATCTCAGTTGACTTTTCATGTAACGGAATAAATATTGAAACATATTTTTAACCCATATTTGATGTAATTCTTCTGATAAATCATCAGTTTTTTTGGAGGTTACTAATATTTGAAGACTGAGCCAAAGCTAGTGTTTATTAAGATGGTGGATTTGGACAAATTGTTCAAGGTTTGTTGATGGTTATTTGGAAAATGAGCTTCATATTAAATTGTACACTGGTTTGTAGGAGGTGAACGCTTCAGGACATTTTCATGTCTGTTTTCCTAAACCTTTGTTATGACTTTTACCAAATTTTGGATCAACTTTACTGTAATTTTTATGACACCATTAAGTATCTCAGAAAAGGAAATAGATCAAAATCAGTGTTATGTCCTCTTGGGATATGGTCTCAGATCTAATAAAACAAAGATTATCATTGTTTAATTAAGAAGCAATAATGTCAATATGTAGTATTGACAAAATGCTTTGAACATAGGATATATTCTGTGCACATTATTTACACTAGATCTAGTAGTTAGCAGTTAAACATCTCTGATGAAAAAACAATAGATTTACATTTGTATTTTGTGTAACATTCTATTTCAATGCTAGTTAATTGTTCGGATAACTGTGGATCCTCTGTTCCAAGATTATGCATCACATGTTTCCGATTTCTGGAAGATGGGTCAGCTAGTGTACAGGTGCAGACTGTATCTTGGATCTTCTTGTGTTCTGGTGCTGTGGCATAACTGTACATAAACGCTGGCAGTTCATGAAGTCCAGTTTTGTGGAAGTTTGTATGTAAATTAGGATTCCACAACAAAGTACATATAGAAAAATATAATGGAAATGATGATTAAAAAAATTATTTCCTTATATTCAGTGTCATGTTATCATGGTGTACAGATTTTGAAAGAGAGAAACTTTACTGCGAATTGCTGCAGATCAGCTGTTGAATATTTGCATCTGGGTATGTCCAGATACGTCCATGGAAACATACTGTTTACAAGCCCAGTTACCTTTTCCAGATTTCCAAATAAGATCAAATAGGTTATGCTGAGATTGATTTGTTTACATTAATTTCAACAAACAATAAGGTGCATGAAGTAGTAGACGGGAAATATTTTCTGCTTTTTATTTACCATTCTCTTTATTCATTAAAAGATAGAAACCAATGTTTTCAGATTATTGAACTAAATATGAACAACGCCAACGAATAAGTAAAGGCACCACGCGCAGTGTTGATAATCGATTTATAGATACGAAGCGATCTGCAACATGAACCGTGGTTGTGTTCACGAGTTTTATAAAATTATAAACCCAAACAACAAAATTCAGTTACCCTTCTTCTACTAATATCTGTGACGGAGGTGAATTGCCAGATAGATTAATTGATTCGAAAGAAATTACGCTTCCTACCGTCTCAGCTAGTCAAGACGATTTTTCATCGGGCATGTAACTCATTTTCACTCGACAGTTGCAATCTGCCAGCTAAAATATATTCAAAATCACATACGTATAACTTGCCTCTTTAAATAGCATTCACAAACGACGGATACCAAAGTATCACAAGCAGAATTCATCAACAACGTTCGCAATCACGTACGTTTCGCCGGCGGTGACGCCATTGTGATTTGTCAGTGGTTGTCCCCCCTAACGTCAAAAACGAAGTGGGCGGGGCTTATCGGCCGGGACTGGATCGGTCTATTATTAACTGGATTCATAGGGTAGCAAGACAAAGTGTTCTCAAAAGTTTAAATGTTATTCTACATTTGTGAAATTGTAACAAATTTAGTTTTTTGTAAATGTCTGAGATTGCTCACTGACTTTTCGCAATTTAAACATATTAATTGTTATACATGACCAAAATTAATGTTTAAGGTTCATGTTTGCTGTTTGCAAAACTATACACTCACAGAACAAAACTAAACGTTTGTTTTACAGGTCTGTATTCAGTCAGTCCTATGACACAGGGACAGAGTCAGGAGCTGATGATGAACATGCTGATCTCTCCGCACCATGGGCAGGTGAGTCTTGCCCCTCTCTATGAATTGCTGAAAGTCAGATCAACAGATACTTTTTTGATTGAATTCTGTAAGTTTGATTTGACACTGAATGCATAGTAATTGACCATGCTTTGATGGCACTATAGCCATGTTCAATCACATATTTATCATGTTGATATAGTTGAGGGGTCAGAAACACGGTGTGATCTTGTTTTGTGTTTTATTTATTTCTGCTGGGGTTAACTTAATTGGCAACCCCAAATATTTAATTCTTTTTCAGAAGGGGTCCTCCTTGGGGTACTTATAAGCATTTAAATGTCCATTTTAATTTCCTACGACAGTTGTAACTATATTTTGAATAAAATATTTACAAAACAAAAAAGTGTACTATTTTTTGTCTTGCTCGACCAACCCTGTATGGCCTCTGCAGGGCCCCACTGCCAAGGGAAGGTAACTCTAGTCTCTAACCTCGCAACTCACTTTCCATGCTGTCGTTCTCCAGAGGAGATGTGCGTGTGTTCCATTAAAGTTTTTCAAGTGAATTTCCTAAGATGAGTGCGTTAGAGGCAATTATAGCTAAAATACGTGGAAATGTGCGGGCTGCTGCAAATGATATTGGACCGCTCAACCGTAACTATCAGTTCTGTTGTCAAGTGACGTCATAGTGGGTGCGTGGACTTATGGTTCATTCGACATTGGCTTTGGACTGGCAGATATTCTGGGACAAACAAGTCAAAGCAACCCGAATTCCTGCTTGAAATAGTGGTAATATTGGCTTTCTTGCTGGTGCTAACCTTAACAATTGCACTATCAACGTTGTTGTTGGACCAAAACCGAACACTGAAAACTGACGTTGTGTCTGACATAGTTTGACACGTTACAGGCCATGGTCTTGCCAAAGGCCAAGGTTGAATATTGTCACGTTCTGTTGTGATGTCACTTGAATTGTTTGATGACGTAATTGCATTCGGTCAGTCAACCCCGTCAGAAGTATGTTTTGAGTAAACTTACAGTCAAATTCCTTCCTTGTTTCATTTTTCTTTTCAACACAAATACCATGTAGTTTAGCAATAATAACGGTAATGCTATTTTTGAGGGCATTATCATTTGCTGAAGCCAGGGCTCCAGATAAGGGCCGAATCGGCGTATGTACGGATATAAAATAAACGCGATACGATAGGAAATAATTTAGAAAACGTAGCAGATACGCACCACATCAATGGTGTACAGTCTTAGAATCACCTGCAGACGTATTTATCTGAAAAAAAGTATTGTTTTATTGTGTACTGACCTGTTTACACAAGAGTAGCAATGTTGTGGTGCATATGTGAAACGAAACACAAGATTACTGATACTCCATTAAATTCCATTCAGTACTCTTATTGTTTTCCAGTACACCTATATTGAAAAATAAGGAGTACGTACTCCTGATCATGAAAAATTATCTGGAGCCCTGGAAGCCCTCGGTCTTTTTCAACTGCCCTCCTTCTTTGGGCAGTTAATGGAAGACCTAGGGCTTCTGCAAGTGATATTTCCCTAAAAAATAGCATTGCCCTTATAATACTTCTCCACTTCGACTTGTGTTGTTAGATGGGGTTTACAGGCGTAGCATGCTTCCGTTCTTTGCATGTTTCATGTTCAGTTCTGTTCTGTGATATTGCTTTGTTACTATGTGTAGCATTACAATATTTTATCACCAGTGCCTATTTGTGTTGTTGCATTATATACGTATCCATATATATATATATGAACCGAGCTCAGGCTCTGGTATCATCCCGACCCTTGGGCGACTCGATCAGAGTCTCGACTCGGCTCCAGTGACGGTGGGACCTCACTCTGACCCGGGCTTCGGCCCTGGTCCAGTGCAGGTTCCAGGCGCCAGCAACTCAGGTCTTGACCTGCTGTCGACCAGCCCCATCGGCGAGAGGCACCGAGGACTCCGGGTCTTCCAGTGGCCTCGACGTCTCGGACTCACACCAGGTTACCGTGTAATCCTCTTCCCTTCCACCTCGGCGCCACGGCTCGAGCCCAAGCTGGGGACAGGGCAACCCGAGCCACCTGGCTCTGATCAATCTTCTGAGCCCTTCCATTGTCTTCCTCTGCTGTGTCCTTTGTGACCACTCTCAACTGTGAGAGCTCAGTCATCGAGGAACGCGATGAGGAAGATATTGTGGAGGATGAGTTGAAAGAGGAGCTAGGAGGGCGAGGTCCCGTACTCACTCTGGTTGTCTTTGAGGCAGGCGTGAGAGCGCATCACCGCTGTTTTGATTCAGGTGGTTGTCCTCGAGCAAGAGGCTGAACCTGCAGAGTTCTGTCCTCCGGGGGAGGTCTTGGCTTGGGATAACATTCGTAGCTGTGCCAGCCAGATGATGTGCGTTGTATTTGGCTTGCGTTGTATTTGGCTTGCGTTGTTTGTGGTTGGAGGTAGAGCGCTACCCGCCTGCCACTCAGCAGGTGCTGCTTTCATTGCCCTACAAGATGGGTTCTACCCTCTTCCCCCGGGACTTTGAAGTAGTCCGAGAAGCCACGGAGGAGCACTGGAGCACCCCGCCACATCTCACCAGCGGCCCTCGGTTCTTGCCGCTTCATATCCTTCAGTGCCAGATGGACACAAAATGGACTGCTCCATTGCTGACTAAGGGGGAAAGGGAAACCTGTCCCAGCTTCCCGCTGAATTTCCCTTGGGTGCCCATGGTATCTCCCGCAGACAAACTCCGTTTTGACGACTGTGGGAGTTCACTGACTCTTGCCAGTTGTCCCTGTCGGTGGCCAACTGTCCATCTTCCTTCGGGAATGGGAAAAGCCACATCAAATCCCTGGGTCCTGTCCACACTCAAAGATGGCCACTTGCCACAGTAGAGGCGAGGTCCACCGTCCTTCTCTGGAGTGTGTCACACACCAGTGCCAGCCTCCCAAGAGAGGCGGACATTCTCCGCGCCCTGGTCCAGGCTGGTATTGTCACCCGTACCTGGACGACTGGCTCCCAAGGGCACTAGGCCAACAGTTGAGTCGAGATACCACACTTGTCGTGATGGATATTCTAATGAAACTGGGCTGGATTATCAATCTAAAAAAATCAGAAATCTTCTGACGCAGGCTCTCGTGTTCTTGGAGGCGAGATTCAAGACAGAGCGGGGGGCTTGTTTCCCTGTCTCAAGACCGAAACGTATGTTTCACATTTTCTCATTGCTTCTAAAAGGACATGGCTCCAGTTGCTAGGCAACATGGTAACAACGGTGGACGTGGTTTGACATACGCGTCTGAGGATGAGACCCATGCAGCAAGCACTTGCACAGCTGTGGTCTCACTCGGAGAGCAACAAGACAAGTCTCGTGAGACCCTAGTGGTTGATTCCTCATCTGCAGTGGTGGACAGACATTTGGAACTTGTCCAGAGGTCTCCCACTGGAGTCCCTGATACCAATGCATTCACGTAATTTTCAATGTTTTATACGTGTATCTTTATGCTGTTGTGTTGCGCCGTTAGCTACATACTTGCGTGTTTGCTTTCAGGCGTTCAGGTGTGTTGCCTGCGGGCAAAATATCCCTCGCCAAGATAAGCATGATAAATGATTATGCTGTCTGGAAAAAGCAGGGCATAACCCTGACATCTGTGAATTGTGTATGGGCTTTTCCCCCCAGGCCCAGAAGAGACGGGTGGCTGACTTCCTTTTTTACAAGGAATTGCGTGAGGCGGGAAGGGACTTGACCCAGGAGGTTCCCCTGTCCAATGCATAAAAAGGCTAAGCAAACTAAATCTAAGTCTACTTCGCATAAGTCCCACTCTCAATCTCAATCTTCCAGTGGTTTCATATGTCCGTTATGTTGCAACAGCATATGGATTCAGTGAAGTCCCTCGTTCATGAGTTGGTTGGAGGTCTCCGGCAGGAGTTCTTCGACCACTCTGGAGTGTCCGCGGATGGGATCGCCGAGCTCAGCTCGATCCCTTTGCCTGGAGGCGGCCGTCGATCCCTTGCCTTTGGCTTCGGGTACGGACGCCTCAGCTTCCCCCGGAGTGGGAGGGTTCGCTCCAAGTCCCTCTCTCGGTGCTGGCGAAGGGTCTGTTGAGGATTCCTGGGGGTCCGGTCCCTGCGCCACCCCGCCTATGAGAGTGGAGGAGCCGGTTCCGTATGAGTTTCCTCCCCTGTCTCGGGACCGGGGTTTGAGTGTCCTGTTGGTTTCCGGAGCTGAGAGTTCCTTTGGCTCTTCCCTTCCTGCGGCGTCTGTGGCTCGGCCTTCCACCGGGTCGGGGTTCGCCTCCCCTCCGAATTCTGACTCGGTCTCAGGTGCCGAGTCTATGGAGGTTGGGGAGTTCGAGGAGTCCGAGGGTGCTATCCGTTTTTCGTCTGCTCTACGGGAGGTTTGGCAACCAGTTGCCCAAGCCGCGGTGCCGACATGTAGCTCGGACTCAACTGAGTTCCACCTGCCGGCAGCCCTCTCAGACACAGCTCCGCATCTTGCCCTCCCTGGTGCAGGACGTAATGGATCCTCTCCTGGTTAGTTCTTGCCTCCCCGAACTAGTTAAGAGGTATCAGCTGGGTGATGATTCTCTCTTCCTTGTGCCAGTGGTGGACAGGTGTGTATTCACTTCAGTCGCCCTCGGGGGAGGCTTGGCTTCCTGGGATGCAGCTCCAACTGCCAAGCAAGGGCGGTTAGTACCACCGATTGCCCAGTCGGGTGCCCCCCTGTGGCAGGCATACTGGACTTACGAGGAGGTCTACCGGAATGCCATGCAGCAGGTGCGGGTCGTGGTCCACGAGGCGTACCTTTCCTCGATACAAAGGTTGGCTCTGGAGACAGAGGGGAGCACTTGTGACGTTTCCCCTAATGTTGTTCTTCTCCGTCAACTATCCGAAGTTCAGGCCCATCTGACGCGAGACTCTTAAAGGTCTGCCGTGTCCTCTGTGATGTGCGTAGGCATGGGGATGCACAAGCTGTGGCTGTCTACGTCCCGTTATTCGGCAGCAACACAGCAGACCTTGCTGGCCCTTCCGTTTCGGCTGGGAGCGACGTTGTTTCCGGGGGCACAGCAGGTCATTTGGGAGGCTGCTGTGGCCTTGTTGGAGCAACCGCGGGCTTTTCGCTCCCGCAGCGGGTTCTTCCTCCGGGGCGCAGCCTACGCCCGAGTCTGCCGGCTGGCTTCGGCCGCTGGGTAGAGGTAGGAGGAGGAGCCGTCCTGCCAAGGGTAAGAGCAAGGAGCAGGCCTCTTCGTCTGGCTCCCAGCAGCCTTTTTGCGGTCGCTGGGGGTCTGCCCCGACCTCCCGTTAAACCTGCCATCTGTATTCGTGGGTATGTCCCAGCCAGTTCATCTGCAGAGGACTACTCACGCACTCTTACCGCACATCCCAGTGGGAGGCTGCCTCTCTCTGTTCCTACCGGAGTCGGAGAAGGCTGCATGCAACACTTGGGTGCTGTCCATCGTCCGTGTTGGCCATTTACCGCTGTGGAAGCGAGGCCCGTCAGAGTTCACCGGCATAAGGAGCACTCCGGTGCTGTCATGTCCGGTCAAGGCGGGAATACTGCGCGACGAAGTTCAGGTTTTGCTGGACAAGTCCGCAATAGAGCGTATACCGACGGGCGAGGAGAAGGCGGGGTTTTATTCCACGTACTTCCTCGTTCTGAAGAAGGACGGCGGGTTCCGTCCCATTCTCAACCTCAAGGGTTTGAATCGCATGAATCAAGATGGAGACATTTAGCTCAGTGATCTCCTCTGTTCAGCCCGGCGATTGGCTTACCTCGATCGACCTAAAGGATGCGTATCTATATATGCCAATTCATCCAAACCTTCAAGCTGTACCTCGGGTTCTCTTATGACGGGATGTGTTACCAATTCACGGTGCTTCCCTTCGGCATATCCACTGCCCCAAGGGTGTTCACCAAGCTCATGTTAGTGCCAGCTACCCTTGCAAGGTCTCAAGGAAGGCGTTGTTACCCTTACCTAGACGACCGGTTGCTCAGCTCTCTAACTCAGCCAGCGAGCCTAGATTCTACCCACACGGTGATAGACATTCTAGTTCGACTGGGGTGGATCATCAACCTCAAGAAATCCGACCTGGTACCCACCCAGGACTTGGTTTTTCTCGGGGTGTGGTTCACAACTTAACAGGGTCTTGTCTCTTTGTCGCCCGACCGGGTCAACAGAGTACGGGAGATGGTGTCTTCGTTCCTCTCCCAGCCCCAGGCACCAGCGCGGACTCGGCTCCGTCTACTGGGTCATATGGCGGACTATCTCTGTCATGTGGCGGGCGCGGTTGAGGATGCGCCCTATACAGCAAGCTTTGGGCTCACTCGGAGGATCTGGAGAAGTGTCTCACAGTCCCCAAATGGTTGTCTCCTCACCTTCAGTGGTGGACCAATGTCAGGAATCTCTCCAAGGGGGTCCCTTTGGAAATCCTGACGCCAGCTCTTACAGTTCAAACTGATGTGTCCCTCAAGGGCTGGGAAGGGGGGTTTCTGGGCAGTCTGTCGGTGTCCGGACGCTGGTCCAAAGCCGAAGCATCAATGTCTTAGAACTGAGAGCTGGGCAGTTGGTTTTCGAACGCTTCCGGGAGCATGTTCAGGGCCAGGTGGTTTGTCTTCAGTTGGACAACCGTACGGCCATAACGTCCCGAGCGCTCCTTTGGGAGACATGGGAATTTCTCCTCTGGTGCGGAGAAGGTGTGAGCAGACGCTCTCTCTCGCCGAATCCTGGCCCCACACGAGTCGATGCTCGACCAGCAGAGCTATCTCCCAGTTGTACGGATCATTCCAGGTGGATCTGTTTGCGTCCGGCGGGACAAATCAGATACCCGTGTTCTGCTCTCGAATACCGGACCAGAGGGCGTTGGCTTCCGACGCCTTCCTGCTGGATTGGATGGGCAAGGTGCTGTGGGCGTTTCCGCCACTACCACTCATTGCCCGGGTCCTCTCCCAGCTGTCCACCCAACCAGCTCGGCTACTTGTGCTACTGGCACCTCTTTGGCCGTCACAGAGCTGGTTTCCGGTAATTCTCAGGTTTCTGGCTCAGCCTCCTGTTCTATTACCTTTGGGATCGGACATTCTAACTCAGAGGTTGCGCCACACCCCAATCCAAGGATTCAGTGGGTGGCTTGGTCACTGTCAGGTCTAGCCTCGAAGTACGCGGAATTCCTGCAGCAGTTGCAGACACAATTCTGGCTTCGAGGCGGGATTCGACAAACGTTCAATATGAGGATAAGTGGTCCCGCTATGCGTGCTGGTGTTCAGATAGGGGGTTGCAGATCCCTTTTCTGCGGATTCAGTCCGAGTATTGGAGTTTCTGCATGCTTGTTTGGAAGAAGGCTTGGCGGCTTCGACCATTCGTGGCTACTCCACCGCTATTTCCACTTTTCACACCCCTGTCGATGGTGCTCTTCTGGGGCAGCACCCTCTTATGCAGCGCTTCTTGGCTGGCGTGGATCGGGTTCGACCTGCTGTCAGCAAACAGACCCTATCTCGTTGGCTTGTATTGGTCATTTGTAGTGCTTATCAGGCTAAGGGCAAGCCTCCCTCTGAGGGGCTGAAGGCTCACTCGGTCAGGGCAGTGGCCACTTCAAAGGCTTTTGCATCAGTGCTGCTCTTTGGAGCAGGCCTAGCACTTTTATAAGGCACTATCACTCAGCTTGATACATAATCCCGTGATCGAGCGCGTTTTGGCCATTCTGTTCTCTCCAGTGGACAGTGTCCTGCCACCCTGACCGAGTGAGTCTTGCTCTTTATAGATTTCACGATGTGGGCGGGGTTTTTAATTTCGCACTGTGTGCGCACTGTTTTGCTTAACTTGTGAGGTCGGGTCTCAGTACGTTCCTCCCTGTCGGTTATCCTCCCATCATGCCTCTCGCGGAAGCTTCTGCACACGTGACAACTGAGTGTTATGGCGTAAGTTACTTTCTTCCTAACGATCGCTATTTATTTGTACTGTGCCAGAATTCCCTCCTCCCTAGCCTCCGGTCTTTGGGAGTCTGAGTTAATGCATATATGTACCCCAAGGACGATCTCTATGAAAAAGAATTAGATAAACCTGTAGATGTTTCCAATTCTTTGAAGAGAATCGTCCTTGGGGTAGGGCCACCCACCTCCCCGCACTTCTGTTCACTGATTTGTTCAGCAGAAGGAATGATGATACGGGCATGGGTGCTTACCTGGTTGGCTGCGCATGCGTAGCAGGGAGGTAACTCCACATGGTGGGGGCAGTATAATAAAGAAAAAAGATTTTTTATTTATTGTACAATATTTTTATTAAAACATTGATACAACTGTCACATGACATTTTCAGCCGCAGAAAATGCATATATTTACCCCAAGGACGATTCTCTTCAAAGAATTAGAAACCTCTACAGGTTTATCCAAGTTTCTGCTTTGGTGCGACCAGTTCGATATACGGGTGATGTCTGTTTATCTCCCAGGGGTAGACAACGTTCCAGCAGACACGCTCTCACGGCATATACTAGCCCCTCATGAGTGGATGCTCGATCAGGGGGATATTCTAGATTATGTCCCAGGTGGATCTGTTTGCCTCTGGGGCAACGAACCAGATACCAGTGTTTTGCTCTCGGATTCTGGATCTGAGGGCGAAAGCCAAGGACACCTTCCAACTCGATTAGACAGGCAGGGTACTGTGGGCCTTCCCATCAATACCACTGAGTCTCAAGGTCTTCTCACAGCTAGCCACCCATCCAGCTCGACTATTTGTGCTGCTTGCATCTCTTTGGATCGGCTCAAAGCTGGTTATTATGACAATGATGCTTGTGACCCCAAGAGAAACCTAAGCAGATTTCTCACATCCTTACAATGTATTGCTGCCATCTCATGTAAAGGTGGTTTTGATGAGAAATGTTGATTTACTGACAGATATCCGTCATCGGCGAGAGGAGGTGAAAGAAATCCTGACAGATATGGACCTGGAGAAGATGGTGGACCTGACACTGACGGAGACGGAGACAATATGGCTGCTGGACATGCCAGCTGTGTGCATCTCGCTGGAGTCTGACGAGGCTGATCAGGTCAAGACTAGGAATGAGCAGTACCAAGAGGTAAATATTGTCTTGTTCTAACTCATTTCTTTTTGTGTAGCAAAGGGTGGTTAAGGCGTTCGCTAGTAACGTCAAAGGCCCGGGTTCGAATCCCCAAATGGGCACAATGTGAGAGCCCATTTCTGGTGTGCCCTGCCGTGATATTGCTGGAATATTGCTAAAAGCAGTGTAAAACTAAACTCACTCAATTGTGTAGCAAAATGGCTGTAATATAGTCAAGTGGTTAAAGTGTTCACTCATCACAATGAAGACCTCAGTTTTGGTCTGAACATGGGTACATTTTGATGAATATTTTTTCTACCCATTAATGTAACACTAGAGTTAATTGCTGTATTCAACAATATTTCTTTTCCATTTTCTATTACAAAATCACTGGCTGCAAATAGCTGCAACATTGATGTTGCAGAGTTAAGCAATGCTCACTTACTGTTTCAAATTCGAAATCATTCAGTGTTCAGGCAATCCGGTTTAACCCTGTGTCAGATTCAGTTGACTATTTCAAAATGGTGTTGCATATTGATGTCTTTTGAATATGATATATATCACAAATATTTGATAACAAATACAAATACTGGTTAACAAATACAATAATAAGTCAATAGGGTTCTGTTGACTATTTCCAAATGGTGTTGCATATTGATGTCTTTTGAATATGATATATATCACAAATATTTGATAACAAATACAAATACTGGTTAACAAATACAATAATAAGTCAATAGGGTTCAGTTTACTATTTCAAAATGGTATTGCACATTGATGTATTTTGTGAGGCAATCTAAGGGGACGTATGAATGTCTGTGTTGCAGCTGGTGAAGAGCCGTGTTGGCAATGACAGGTATGCAGAGAGGGGCATGAACACATTCAACGAACCGCCGAAGACCAAGAATATTCAGACGACCAAGATTGTATACAATGTAAGAAATCTTATCAATACATGACTGAAATGAGGTTTCATAGTTGGCACTGTTATGAATGCTGAAGATGACCGAGGTTCATTGTCAATACTTTACAGTCCTATACACCAGTATGTGCTGAAGCTTTTGAGACTATTAGCCTGAACTTGTCTCTTAGTAACATATCAGCAGAATTTGGTGTGTTGGTTGGACTATGTGAACTAAGCTTAGGAGACAGAACAGAATTTGACTAGACTTCAGTTAAGTAGCTAAAGTCAAAGCTTGTATATGGTAGCGCCATAACCCAAGAATATGTACGGGCCACTTTGCCATGTACCTATCTGTTGTTAACCAGTGCAGGTTTTTTCGAATTTTCTACGGATTTCGGGGATTTACATATCAATTTCTGTCATATTTAGATCAGCATAAATAAACATTTTTAGGGGGGCCGATGGCACTTATTATAATTTTCCTCCAAAATTTAAATTGGGTGTTCTCATGCCTGCCTGTGCATCAAACGGCATGGTTCCTGTGATGGGAATTCCAACCAGTACTCAGACCAGTGACTGTATCACGTTTTACACTCTAATGTGCAGCACATACCTTATCCGTGTGACCTTGTGTTCTGTCCATTGTGGCAAAGTGAAGCATCCAACTGCTACAAGGACTATGATGCATTTGATTTGTTTCTACAGGACGTTGGCATCTTGTCAACAACTTGGGACATGTATGACACATATGAGGCCATAGAAAAAGAAGCGAAAGGTGAGTGTAACTATTATATTCTAATGTCAATATTACCTGAAGAATCTCTGTAATGAGCCTTTCTACTTAAAATTGACAGACATCTGTGAATGTTAGTTTGTTATTACTGGTACTTTAGATCTCTAGATCTGCTGGGCCTAAACTAATTAAGAATGCTGAATTTGTTTTTATGGTTTTAGATTTTGTTCTGTTTCAACTTTGAACATGATGAATGTAAAAGAAACATCCAAAAAATGTTTCGCTACCTGACTCAGACAGGTTACATGCCCAATCTCTGGTGTATGCTTGTTAAAATTCTGTTCATGGTGTCATTATTACTTGTGTGTGTGCTTTTGTTTCCCAGTAAAAAAGGGATACTGAAGAAAATGAAAAGCTTTTCTAACACATTTCATAACCGCGTCAAACCAAAAGACGTTAAAATATGGTACTTGTTGGTCCCTGCCTTGCGCTCGGCATTAATGGGTACAACAAGGACTGGTCGGCTCGGAGTCAGTATAATGTGTCTGAGTGGGGTATTCATTCTTCACTGCGGCATGGTATCTCAGTGGGCTAGCACTATAAAACCAGCTTCAGTTTGGGCTAGTACAAGCAGCCTCACATACACATACACTCGCATGCACGTCGTCATATGAGCGAAATATTCTCAAGTACGACGTTAAACCCAATTTCACCTCACCTTACCTCATAAATGTGCAAAAAGGAAAAGAGATTAATTGCGATTATCTTGTTTTCCATCCTTCTGACCAACTACAGTAAATTGATTGGTCTCATGTTCTTTCTCCCTCCTCCAAACAACAGGTTTAAGAGAAAATCTATGAAACTAAATAAATAATGAAAGGTCCAACTACGCCTGTAACATAACAAGAGCAAAAACTGAGTCTCTTGTGGTTGTTGGTTCAGTGATACCAGGTGCTGATGTTGATAGTTCACAATGATGTTTTGTCAAGACACAGCTTTAGTATTATGCTTCACACTGAAAAAAAACATTCTACAAACCATTATATTCACTTGATACAGAGTAGCTAAGTTCACAGAAACACATGAACGGTGTCAGCACAATGAAAAGGTAAAGCTCAGTACAGCATTCGACAATATCTGAAGGACAGTGTACAGCAATACTGAGCACTCATTGGTGTGAACCTACTGCACAATTTGAACATATTGCTTGCATGTTCTGTAAAAGAATCGAGTTCACATAAATATATTTATGGTTTTCATTAAGCATGGTATTCCTGAATAACTGATAGTAGATGTGATGCTAGAAGCTGTCACTACTCCTATTATTTCACCTGTTTGCCGCCGTGATGTTGCTGGAATATTGCTAAAAGCGGCGTAAAACCAAACTCACTCACTCACCTGTTTGCTTGAGGCATGAATTTCATTGAATGTGTGCACACAGTTTGAAAATCATTTGCCTGAGAATAGAATTCATATTCATTTCCAGCCTATTTTGATTTCATATTGGTAATCAGGTTTTGTTTCACAGTTTAATCACTAGGTTACACTTACAAAAACACCATTTCAAGCCGAATTTCGTTATTCACAAAAATCGGTTTAACATCACAGCTTCAGCAAGGCAGTATATGTCTAAGAACAGCATCAAATGTAGTTGATCTAACTGAAATACTGTTTAAAGCAGTACCTTTTTACAAAATAGCTCTTAGTGGGATTACAGGTGAGAAAAGGTTCCTACCGGTACTGATCTTACTAGGCGACTGAATTGATCTGATGGTGTGTCTTGGTTGATTGTGCTTCATTATCCAACAATGGAAGTGTGGTAGCCAAGTGGTTAAAGTATTAATGTGTCACGTCTAAGACCCTGGTTCGATTCTCCACATGGGTAAAATGTGTGAAGCCCATTTCTGGTGTTCGCTGTCTTATTGCTGGAATATTGCTGAAAGTGGAGCAAAACCATACTCACTTATTATCACACAACGGCTTTGATTGTTGCTTACAAAATCAATCACTGGTTTGTCTGCTCAAGACTTTATTTTTTATTGCATGTCATCACTAAGCAGGGCCTAGATTTTCGAAGCTCTCTTAGTGCTAAGACAGTCGTAAGTGCCATACATTATCACTAACTTACGACTATCTTAGCTTTAAGAGAGCTTTGAAAATCTCGGCCCAGGACTGTTGGTTAGTTTGGTGTTAGAAAACAGGCAACACCAGTCTCATTCACAACGATCAGTGGAAGATGGTTTTAGACTTAACATCGATGCTTGACATTTTCCCCATCAGCCAAGGAGGAGGCAGAGGAAGAAGAGGAAGGAACGATCAGTCGCCCCACGAGTCCCAAAACACCAGATGAGCAGGCTGAGGGTGAGCCCACCCCAGTGTCCAGGGAGACCACCCTGGTCAGAGGGGGCAGTGCGAGGCCAGGTATGTACACTGAGTGGTCAGCTCAGTTTGATTGGTTCAGCTATAGTCTAGGTTCAGTGACAGTTTTAAATTTTTTGATAATTCTTAGGACAACGTGATTGTTGTGGTGAAGTTATAGTTTAGTTGATACGTTTTAAGTTTCTTGTATTGTCTATTCATAGATAATTCTAGCCTATTCTTTTAATTGCAAGGCTAATAAGTTGTTAGACAGTGATGATTAATATTAATGTTTAATTTTCTATGTAGATTTGTATGTTTATGTAGGTAGAAACTGAGATTGCCAACCATTACATCTTTGGCAGAATTTTACGAAACTCAAGCTGTGGACTAGTGGCTGAAGTTTTAGACTGGTCTTTCATGACCTTTGTTCTCTGTTGTTTTGTATGATGTAAAGGAACTGAGATACTGCTTTAGGTTTTCCAATTCACAGATTTTAAGGAGTTGGGCAGGCAGTGTTTTGGTGAAATGAGGTTTAGTGTCCCATTCAAACTTTCGCATTTTCATAGCTGTCAGTGTTTGTGTACAGACAAATTCTACTTTCATAATACATAAGGTGATTACCGGTGCTTTGGTTTCTGGTTTCTTTTTATCGAGGACGGGGGATTGTAAAGTTTCAAATTTAAGACCCCAGTTATCCTGGATATTTTTAAAAGCGCCAGTGTGGGGTTGGCTTCTCTGAACTTTCCCAAATGAGTTGGCTTTACACATAATGTGATTGGGACAGTGGGGTAGCCTAGCGGTCAAGGCGTTCGCTCGTCGTGCTGAAAACCCGGGTTCAATTCCCCACATGGGTACAATGTGTGAAGCCCATTTCTGTGTCCCCTGTCGTGATATTGCGGCAATATTGCTAAAAGCCGCGTAAAACCCAGCTCACTCACTCATAATGTGATAGATTGTAGCACTATGTTTTATCCATGTATATCTCCATTCTATTTTGATACTTACCCTGAACCCATTCACCACCTAAGGTTTGTATTGGTCTTGTTCCCATGACACGATGCTGAAAATAGTGCCATTACTTGACTTGTCCTTGTGCATACCAGCTTCAGTCCCACTGACAGTGTCTTGTAACTTGAAGATACTCTCTTTACTCATGGAGACATTTTACAGCAATTATGATTGTCTGTCAATTTGATTAAGTATATCAACCACTTGCTAGTAATCAGTCATCCTCTTGAATGTGGATTATCTTGAAGTTCAGTCGTTGATTTGAGTTAACAGAGCTCCAGATAAGATTTAGCTCATGTGGGTACTATACCCACTGTATTATTTTGGAGTGGGTATTATGAATGTTGAGTGGGGATTTCATTTTCCGTTACCCACTGCTTTCAAATATGTGGGTATTTCAGTCATATTACTCACCTAAGTATTATGTCATTGAGTAAGTTTACTATGCAGGTATGTTCTACCTTACGTCATATCTAATCAAAACCAACTTAAATATAATGGAAATGATTTCATAAAAGGTCACTCATCCTATACTGACAGTACAACTTGATAGCAATCGATGTCTTTTTCATTACGCGAGCGATTTTTATAAACTTTTTGCGTATCTAACATTTTAAATGCGTAATTGGTACGCAACAATTATTTTTCAATGCGTAATTGGAAATTTTCTATGCGTATTTTACCCGGATACGCAGCTTATCTGGTCCTCTGGTTAATTGTGGATTTCAAGCTCACTTAAGCTTAAGAAACTTGGTGCTTGGTTGGTGACGAGAGATTGAATTGCAAGACAAAGCTATGGGTGCAGGAGGTTTGGGGTATTTATCTTTATGGAATTGAGATTTGATACCCTGGATACGAGGATGTGTATTTTCATATATTGGAGGCAGTCTTTATCGGTATAACCTGAGTGAGCTTGTACCAAGCTTGTATTTAGCTAACCTTTTTGCTGTGTGTGTCTAACCCAAGGTTCCATCATTGTGAGATCAGTCGCAAGTCGACTGACAGGTGAGCTGCTTATGTACTGCATGACATGCTTAGCTAGTTTATACATGCTTGCACCTTCAGCTGTCACATTTGTATGAAGCTATTCTCTCCCTTTGAGATTCAGGATTCTGTGTCAACACTTTTTTCACATACATCTCAGATGCATGGCTCATCTTTGGGACATTGTTTTGTACGCTGACAATTTCTTTTACATTTTAGAGTTTTATATCACATATAAATAATATAGATCTGTACATGGTTAGAAAAGGAATTGATTGCCATTGTTTTGGGGACGCAGAAATGTACATCCAGTACGCACAAACCGAGGTGCCAACCCATAAGATTTTATTGTATTCGTTACGATAAAACAGCACAAAATACGTGACTATGATAGGAGTAGAAATATAAGAATTTAAAAAAAACCCATTAAATTAAATTATCAAATAGCAAACGTACCATACACAATAAATTTCAACCACATTTTATTCAGTATCAAGCTATATGTTGATACTTACTATTGATTTAGATGAGTACAATGTTAATAGCATGATCTATATATTTTTTATTAAAATATAAATTTTTGGGGGAAAAGTTGATATTAACTTTCGCCAAAAAGTACTAATTTTTGCATCAGTTTGTTTGGCCTAAATACTAATTGGGCTAAATTAGGGATGGCATCTCTGCGCAAATGTAAGGTATGGACTCAATAAAAATATGTATTTGGTCCTGAGGGAAGCACAACATTATTCACTGTATCAATTGTCAACAAAAATGTTCCTATTATTAACATAATGATGACATTCTTCAGGAAAGTACACAATTTACATTAAATTAATATTTCCTGTAAAAATCCTTGAAATTAGTAACTGAGGGTCCCTTCGTTTTGTAGGGCAAGGTGAAAACCTGGTTTATGTGTCATCATTTCGGACATTGTATATAATGTCAACCACTATTTATTTGTCCCAAACTCACTTATCTACCAGCTGCCATGATGTAGCTGTGATGTGTAAATACAAACTTACCATGTCTTTGGTACAGAATATGGGTGTATTTTATAATATCGATATGAATTCACTGATTATGTTACAACTATATGGGCACCAGAGTGTAATTAACTTTGTTTAATTTTGTAAAATCCTCATTGTGGAGATTGTTCCATGTAATGAAAGCTTTCTGTCAATTTGTATGTAAATTGGAGTTTTGCATTGTCCCTTGGAGTTGTCTCCCTTAGACCTCCTTGCTTGCCCACTTTTCAGTCAATATTTTCCCCAATTCTACATTAAATATTTTAAAATTCACAAATTGGAGTCTTTATTTGCCCATTCAGATCATTATTATAGTAACTTATATTTTAACTTCAATGGTCATTTTGTTTTCACTGGTAATGGAACTTATAAAGAGAAGGGTTCTAATATTTAGTTTTACATGGTATCATTTAATGTTTAAAATAAATCTGGATTAGGCTCGAACCAATTAATATCCTGGTGGAGGTGATGGTGGATGGGAGGAAGGGGGTCATGGGATTTTGGTCTGTTGCAATTTTATTCAAGGAGATGAAAGCAGTTATTTGAAATGGAGAACCAAAAACTGTTCTCACAAAATGTCCAAAATCCTAGGACCTTTTTCTTCTCCACACTAGAATATCTGATAGGAATCTCCTTGCACTGTCTGATCTTAATCTTCTTCACAAGCCTATTGGTAAACTATTCACTATGAACACACTGGCTCTTTTCTGTGGGAACAGCTTTTATGCTTCTGTGAGCTGTCTCAATTGCATCTTGGGTTCACAATAGTTAAAGATAGATGAATTAACTTCTGTTTGTCTATATTTATCAACTGCAGTGTCTTGATACTTCATCAAAGAGATAAAGAGTCAAATGTCAAAGATTTTAAATAATATTATGTTATCTTTGGTGAAAGTAGTGTGGCTTTTCGTTGTTTTTCTCATTGAGGAAAAAAAGTTGTGATAAAGCTGTCGCTTCATTGTACTTTATAACTTGAGTGAGATATAATATTGCATGTACTTTCACTTTTCTTGGAAATAAACAGTGATATATAAGCAGTGGTTGAGGGACATGTCCATATTTACCTGGTCTAATACCTCGTACATTAAGACCCAGATCAAAGTGGCAGTTTTGTCTGTCATTTCAGAAAGTCGAGCAACTGTGGCCTCATCAGTTGCTGGGTCGGAGAGTGTATTTGCCAGCAAGGAGACAGGAGTATCATCCATGCCGACAGATGCGCAGGCTCATGATGAGGAGAAGATACTGAAGGTAGGTTATTTGATAATGCTGACGTACATGACCAGAAACACAAGATTTTGGTGTTTTGAGACAAAAGGGTTATACTGACATCAGTGGTGGGAAATCAAACAATTATCCCCAGCATCCAAAATTCATGCTTGTCTTCAAACCAGAGACAACTAAATTGTACTCAGGGCAATTAAAAATCCATTGATGGTAGTCCTAATGACTAGGAGCATTTAGGGGATATACATTGTGATAGAACCGTCAATGGTTCAGTTTGCTACAAATTAAACTGAATAAAGCTGGCAATTTATATTTTAATCTGAATATGTATTCATATCTGAGCAATTTCTATGATTATTATTGCAAGTGACTTTATTCTGCAGGGTTAATGAAATAATGTCACTTGATCTCCCAAGACACAATGTCAGAAAAATTCAAAACTTACTGTCATAATTTGTATCACCAAAACACAAATACAGATCTGCAATATTTTTTCCAGTCTGAGAACCTTAAGCGTGATCTATTCATCATGGAAAGAAATCTCAACTTGAACTCATACCAGCCCAAACAGGCCCTGTATAGAGGATATGGCATCATTACAGGTAAGCAATACATTGCAGTTGGGATTCAAGACTTCTGAAAATGCTGAACATGCTAAAGAAAATATTAGGAATGTTATGGAGGGAACCAACAGTGTGACGTCAGATAGATATATCTACAGCAGTAGTTCATGTAAAGGATCGAGTGTGTTTTGTGTAATGTATTTACTGAATTCGTAGCCTTTTTGGCCTAAGATTACGCTTGTTACACCAAAGACTTGGGATTCGATGCTTTATGTTTGAAACCCAGCTGTGAAATTGCTGAAGTATTGCTAAACGGGTAAAAGTACATGTAGTGTGAAAACATACTCACCATGTATTTAGTGATGGAATACAGCAATCTTCTGGTCATTGGTTCGAATCCCTGGTCTGGGCCCCGTTCCTCAAAGCGATCGTAGCACTAAGATGATTGTAACTCCCATACTTTAACATAGACTTACGACTGAGTCTTTGAGCAACGGGGCCCTGATCTTCCGGAATGCCTGAGTCTTGGCAGTTCTCATTCCAGAAAGTGTGCTTAGCACTAAGACAATCATGATACAGTTACATAACTTTAACCTGTAACAGATGTACCATTGAGATCGCTCTATGGAACGGGTAAGTGAGTGTTAAAGAATGGGAATTGTGATCATCCTTGCGCCAAGATTGCTAACACTTTCACACAGTCTTGTAACCGAATTAATCAATGGCATTAAACAGTACTAACATACAATCCATCAACAGACATAGATCGAGAGGTGTCCAGTATGACGCAAACCAGTGTAGCTGATATGGGTCCAAACCTGGACCGTCTGTGGTCCTACTCTTGTCCACTGACCAAGGGCCGGAATGTGTCTTGTATGACTTGGAACAAACTCAACCCTGTGAGTAGTGCATGTGAAAAGTGGGACATTTCAACTGTTTCTTTGGAATCTGAAAATGTCACTTTCCTTTGAATGGAACCATTTTCTCTTACTGTTTGTTTGTGGGTATTCTCAATGCCAGGTAATAATAAATCATCAATAACCCATGCTTGTTGTTAGAGCTAGTTGAAAGGGAGTGCTCACAGTGGATTATGAACAGGCTGTGATACTGACAAATAGTGTTTGGAATTGGAAACCAAGTCCACTATCGATTATCGGAGGTCTTGTGGATGATTATCGATTATAATCAAAATATATACATTTTTATGTAATCACCAATTTTAAGGGTTTTTCTCCATGTTTTTTCTAATTAATGTATTTTCTAACTAATACTGTCATGCAAAGAAATGCATGCATGCAAGAAAGACACTGGAATTGTAATTAAACATTAAAAGTGGAAAAGAATTTACAATGCACATAGCTTTACGCTGTTGAGCGCATGTTTGTTTGCGAATATTCATCAAATTTAATGGTTAGTTTACTTCATTCAAGTGTGCTATACTAAAACAACAAAATTCCAATTAATCAAAAATGTTTTTTACAATCAATAATTATTTTTAATCCTTCTTTCGATCGATTTTCGATCATCGGAACACCACTACTGACAAAAAAGACAAATTTGGAACTTTGTGTTTCACAATACCCTCAAGCACAAGCTTTCTTAAGTATGAAGGATTTAGGAATGCTGTCAGAAAGTGAAGTAAGTTGCCCACAGCTGAATTACATAATGTACACATTCGCTGAGTTGGCCCAATTATAAACCACCTTCTCCACTTGCTGACAAGATGCTTCTTTCCAGGACCTAATTGCAGTTGGATATGGCCAGTTTGAATTTACAAACCAGAAAGGAGGCTATATTTGTGGGTGGTCACTTAAAAACCCAGAGGTAAGTCTGACTTCCTTAACATTTTACAGCAGAAGGATTTTTATAATGCAGCTGTTTGTTTATAAAAAATATGTGCTTTCACATTTCATGGTAGTCTCCAGTGCCAAGCCTTTGAAATTCATGCCAGCTTGCTAGTTTGGATACTTCTACTTTGTTCTGACAAATGGAATGATAATGGTTCTCGTTGGCTTGTAACTTATGATTCTGAACCAGTTGTCCAAAGTAACAGCACATTGGGTCCTGTAAGTTTCAGATGTCTGTCTGACCCACTGAAAATTCTCAGGACCCATAGAATAAAATTTAAACACATTTCAGATTTAACATTTCTTATAATTGGCATTGAAATTATTAACAAACACAAGATTTATAAACAGCAAACACGTGTCACATGTCACATATAACAACTTCAGTCAAAGTACAGTCAGACATGTGATATATACAGTCAGACACTGGGGCTGGCGGGTTGTAGACTTCTATCAGGACCGTTAGTGAGAATCTGCCGGATTTGTCAGAGGGTCCAACGCTATTCGTGAACACTGGTCATACCAGCTGAACATTATAGATTGATGGTCATGTTGTCAACCATTGGTTTGACCAGAAATAACTGTAATCTGCCTATATATAGCTTATCATCAAACAAAGTTCACTGAATTGAAACCGTCTGTAGACAGTTTCTTCTTTCCTCTGGTATTTGTGTTTGATATTCTCTGTTTCCAACCCAGTTCCCTGAGAGAGTGTTCACATGCAAGGAAGGTGTGACTGCACTGGACTTCTCTGCAGCAAACCCAAACTTACTAGCAGTGAGTATTAAGGCCTATGATAAGGTGATATGTGATGATACGCATTGAACCAAGTCAGCTGACATGATCTCTCTTTGTTACTAGTCCTAGACCAAATGCTAGAAAAGTCCCTATCTTTCAGGATCTCTCAGCAGCAGTAAAAGTGTTATCCAGTAATTAGTATAACACCACCCACCCTCCAGAAATTCTTGTTGATATGGAACAAGCCACAGAATGTATCAGGTTACTAAAACAAACAAGGTTTACCCCACTGTTCATATTACCCGTTACCTGATTTTGATGCTATCTCTACATTTGGCCTAGGAGTATTATTATAGTATCATCAGTTTTGTAATTGTATTTAATAGTTTGATACCATTATCTGTTAATATTGGATTTAGCTTGAGATATTACACATATCTTCTCTTGAACATGACAGAAACTGTTAAATGCCCTTCAATGTTTAAAGCTAAATCTTATTTTTATAAATAGTATTCATAGTCATTCATGAGACTGAGTCCTATTGGGGTTTTTTTTCTTTCTGTTCAAGGGTTATAAACAGTATGCATCAACATTTATGTGTTGATGGTTTTTTGTGTTTTCAGTTTTTCTTGTGTTTTACATGAATATTTTTTGCTCCAGGTTGGAATGTACGATGGTGGAGTGGCGATATACAATGTCAAACACTTGAAAGATGAACCAATTGTGGATAACTTGTGAGTTTAACAAATAAACATGTTGGTATAATTTCCAAATATTTTCATTAATTATGTGTCTAATGAAAAGAATGTTATTTATATTGCAATGAAAGACTATTTTTGCAATATTTGAACGACATGACACCCAGATTGCTGTCCAATAAAACTAAATTGGTCTATCATGATTGAAATAATGAATGGCTTGACAGTTCAGTTCAACTACAACTGCAAGTGCCTGGTAGCATAAATATTTCTCTTGTGCTGTCTAAATGGTATTGGAGCGGTGGGGTAGCCCTGTTGTTAAAGCGCTAACTCGTGACGCCGAAGATCCGGGTTTGATTCCCCACATGGGTACAATGTGTGAAGCCCATTTCTGGTGTTCCCCGCCGTGATATTGATCGAATATTGTTAAAACCGACGTAAAACCTTACTCTCTCACATGTAAAGTGAGTAAGTGAGTGAGTTTAGTTTCACTCTCTCACAGTCCTCTAATCCGAGACAAATTTCAGGAAGAACTTGGAAGTTTCTTTATTGACTACACCTTTCTTCTATTTTTGTGCACCGCTATTGACAATAGAAAAACCATGATTTACTAGTATACAATGACTTACATACCCAAGTGGTTATGGGTTATTGAGATCGTAGACACTTCTTGTCAATGGTGAATGAGACTGGATAGGGTATGGGCTGTGTGTTTGGAAGGGAGTGGGATGCGGGAAAGGGGATTGGATAACAGCATCTGGTTAAAAATCCACCATTTGTCATTCACTTTAACTCTGAGGTATATGAATATTTGCCTATGTTGTAATAATGTTTCATTAGATATCATACTTGGCTACATTCGTCACCACTCGCCCCTTTCCGTAACCTCCAAGAAGACTCATCCCCCTCTTGATGCTTGATATGTGAGAAAATATGACAAACCAATCAGAACGAGCGTAAGTGACTGCGGTGTTTTGGTAAAAATAATCCCGAGTACTGAAATCCTTTATGGTCTTATGTCATTGTTTAAAAAATCATGAAAAATATATATCGCCGTATTGAAAGTACAAAGAACTTAGCTAACAGGATTTTGCTGCCTATTATGAAGATTTTATATAAGAGTCATGCGATTGACAGTGAGAGATTCAAATACACGCACGTGCGTTTGTTGACATAACGGCTCTTATGGGTCCAACTGGGGGTATTTCTGACGATCTTGCGGGCTTGCGATGGAGATTGTACATGCGCTTCCAACAATTTTAGGAAATGTAATTATAAATCACTACGAGTTTCAAAACAATAATATTAAACATATATCTGCATGTAACTAATCAACTCTAATCTTTAACATTGGGCATATATTTCACCTCTCTGGGAATATTTTAGTCTGACTTTTTTGGGGGGTCATTCATATATTTTTCAGCGGATTCCTTTAAAATTCCACTTGGAGTATAAAAGCAAGGTTACACGAATGTTCAGTTTGTGAAATATTTTCAAGTCATTTTTGAGTTTCTGCTTTGGGATTTAATGTAGCTTTTATAAATTTTATTTACATATTTGATAAAACAAATCCTATTTGTGATATGAAGTACCATTGGTATCAAACAAGAATAGAGTTATCATTCCTGTTTAAAGTAGTTCTGATGTTCATGCGCCAATAATGAAATCCTTCCAGAGGGGCACGAGTCGCTATTCGGCTTGTCCCAGAGTAACACGAGTTGGTCATGAATGACTTGGCTAAAGTCAGGAAAAGTATTCCTATAAATTCAAGTGTTTATATATGTTTCATGACACAAAGGTACTTTTCCAGTATGCTTATGTACAAGTCTTCAGGTATGAAAGACACTTTATGAAGATCGAGGTCTTAGTGGTTGTATCTTCACACCAGTAAATACAAACTACAACTCTCTGCCTCTTTCTTGGACTTTCTCACACATTCTCTCTCCACATTTTGTTTTGCTAACAGCGGATCAGCAGGTAAACACACAGCACCAGTGTGGCAGATCAGGTGGATCGAAAAGGAGCGAGGGTCCGGGGACGAGAGGGCAGAGGTCATAGTGTCTATCTCCACAGATGGACGGGTCACACAGTGGTCAATCAGGAAGGGTTTCGAAAGCTATGGTCAGTATGTGGTCCGATCTGCTGGTTGAAAGTAGAACTAGAAAGTCTGAATTAGATCTTACTGTAGGATTTGTCAGTTTGCAAGATACCTATTTGAATTTTGTAAACTTATTTGACAAAACTGGCACATGTTGTAGGTTTACAGTAAGTTGTGTCCCCCAACTCATGCCAGTAGCCTATGGGTTTGAATCCCAGAGTCATCCTGATTGTTTCTTGGTTTGTCAGCTCCTTACCCATTATTGGGGGTTTCACCTACATGACTACTGACCCCAGGTGGGTGGTGGGGTAGCCTTGTTATCCCCGCGTTTAGCGCGAAGCGGGGGCTATAGTATTAGGCTCCGTCCGTCCGTCCGTCCGTGCATGCACGCTTAAGAACGTCTACGAATTAGAATATCTTAAGAACCATTGACTAGAATCTTTTCATATTTGGTACCTAGGTTCATCATAGTGTAAGAAAGGTCCCAGTCAGGTTTGGTGACCTTGACCTTCATTTCATTTACCCTTGTCAGCGAGATATCTCAAGAACAGCTCTCTAGATTCTCTTCATATTTAACACCAAGCTTTATCTAGGGAAGGCACAGGGCCCAATCGATTTTGGTGACCTTCACTTAATTTTCAAGGTCACAGTGACACTTTGAAGATTTCAGTTTGTTAACCTGCATGTTAAGATGGTCAGCGAGATATCTCAAGACCCATTCACTGGACTTTCTTCATATTTGACACCAAGCTTCATCTAAGGAAGACCCGTGAAGGTCTGGGTTAGAATATTGATCTTCAGTAACCCATGCTTGTCGTAAGAGGCGACTAACAGGATCGGGTAGTCAGTCTCGCTGACTAGGTTGACACATGTCATCGGTTCCCAATTACGCAGATCGATGCTAATGCTGTTGATCACTGGATTGTCTGGTCCAGACTCGATTATTTACATACTGCCGCCATATAGCTGGAATATTGCTGAGTGTGGCGTAAAATTAAACTCACTCACACTCATCTAGGGAAAGTGCAAGGCCCAGTCGATTTTGGTGACCTTCACTTAATTTTCAAGGTCACAAGACACTTTAAAGATTTCAGTATGTTAAATTACATGTTAAGATAGTCAGCAAGATATTGCAAAAAACATTCACTGGAATGTTTTCATATTTGACACCAAGCTTCATTTGATGAAGGCGCAGGGCCCAGTCAAATTTGGTGACCTTCACATATTTTTTCAAGGTCACTGCGACACTTTGAAGATTTCAGCATGTAACTTGAATTCATTGGATTTTCTTCATAGACTTTCAAGACTTCCCTTGAATGTTTTTCAATAAGCAATTTCTTTAGTACCATTTTTGCATATTTCTTGCAATTTGACATTCAAGTCAGTCTTGAAAATATTTGTGTGTTTGAACAACTAAAGAAGATATCAAGAGGGGTTGACTGGTCATGTTTTGTTGACATTTAACTTCATCTTAAACTTTCATTACTTTTTAAGTTTGATTTGATTATGTCACCTTAGTGACAATGCTTGTGGTTTATGTGTCCGCTCATCATGCTGAAGACCCGGGTTCGATTCCCCGCATGGATACAATGTGTGAAGCCCATTGCTGGTGTCCCCCGCCGTGATATTGCTGGAATATTGCTAAAACCATACTCATTCACTCACTCACTCATTCTGGATGAAGCGCTAAAGAATAAAATGGCACCTGATCACGTGTTTATTATAGTCTTATGAACAAAGGTTCATGATTGTACTTCAGATTTAATGCGTTTGAAGAGAGTCCCCACCAGAATCGGAGGCAAGACACGGGAGAAGAAAGGAGAAGCATTTATCTCACGACAAGCTGGCGGACTCTGTTTTGACTTCCACGCAAGAGACACCAATATGTAAGTGTTCTAACATTGGTTAAAAGTTACGTGCTGCCACTCACTGTGTAGAGATGCGTCCCTTCATGCATGCCAGGTATTTTTATGGGTTTGAATCCCAGCTTTGCGGTGATCTTGTGTCTCTATTGGTTATCATCTCTGTTCATTCATTTTTCCAAAGTGGTAAACTTCTGAGAAGTTAAAGGCACTATATCACACCCCACTTCTCTAAAAATAAATAATGCATTTCTCTCATTAATACTAACTATCAGCCCCAGGGAAGATACCATATAATTGATTGAAAATTAATTCACGTGTTTAGATTACAATCTTAAATTAAAAAGTTTGAATGAATTGATGCAATGTTGCATTAAATCGACTCTCGCCCCCTACTGCCCGAACATTATTTCAAGCGAACCCCATAGAGTTATGTCCCTTGGAGCGCTCTTTATGAATATCCTATGTGATTGAAAACAAGTTTGGCAAACACCGACAACACCACGTGCAACACCACGTGTACGGGGCAAATGTTTACATTTTGTATGTTTCAAGTGCATCAGTAGGAAGCTAAAGTGAATGTATATGCCCCTATATAAATAAAATAGGCCAAAATATTGTCAAAAATGTGTGATATTGTGCCTTTAAGTTGGGTTACCATAGTCACTTCAGGCTTTTCTTCCACATCAAGTTGATACATAGTGATATAACAGAAATACGACTCTATTGTCATTGAACGATGCATATGATATGTCATGAATAAAAACCAACCAAAATATAATAAAGGCGGTGAACACAAACTTATTACATGACAACTGAACATGTATGATGCAGGCCCTTCACTCATGTATTTGTGCTCAATGGCCAGACAGGGCTACAGGCAACCCAGTTGTCTTAAGGTACCGAAATATGTTTCCTGATTTTAGGCATGCAATAAAATTTAGATTGTTGGTTCAAATCCCAGTTTGCCCTGATTGTTTAAACATTTGTCAGCACCATACCCATGGGTTTTGAACCAAAGGTAGAAATGCCTGAGACCTGAAGTAACAGGAATACTGTTCAAAGTGGCATTCAGTCCACCCAGCTGTGAATGGGTACCTCGTAAGGATGGGAAAGCCACATTAACTCTCTTGTAGCTGCAAGAGTGGAATGATCCACAGTTGAATTGTTAATACAATGTGTCTATTGAGGAAAAATCAAATCGGTGAGCCTTGTAGCAGCTGAGCTGGATATTGCGCTAAATAAATGTTAGTATGATAATAATAAAAAGACAACCTATCTCACTCATAGATCACATGATAAGAAAACTTCACATTGATGACGTTCTGAAACCTGCAATGTTCTGCACTTTCAGCTACCTAGCTGGTACAGAGGAGGGCCACATACACAAATGTTCTTGTTCCTACAATGAGCAGTATCTGGAGAGCTACTCCGGACATACGGTCAGTTATGGCTTTTGTTTATCAACCCTGTACTGGGGCTATCTTGTATCTAACTAAGAATCATTGTACAATTTTGAGAGGGTGGGTTTGGTTGTTATGATCAGCATCCGTGTCTATGATCAGCATCAATGTCTATGATCAGCATCCATGTCTGTGATCAGCATCCATGTCTATGATCAGCATCCATGTCTATGATCAGCATCCATGTCTGGGATCAGCATCCATGTCTATGAACAGGGTTTCTTCCGAAGAACTTTCCCACCTTATAAATCAGATGTAACTGCATATGCTGTTTGAAGCAGTGTGAAACCCAACTCATCACTCATTCATTCACTGGGTAAAAATAGTTCATATATTGTATAAATCTTTCTGACAATGTTGGCCAGTCATAAAGGGAGACTACTCTCTCAAATTGTGTAAGTTATGCAGTATTACTGGCCAGTCACAGACGTTTTCTGCTCAGACAAGTTGTGTGTATTGTAGTGTATTGATGATGTTGGTGTATGTTCCAGAGCCCTGTGTACAAGATCCAGTGGTCACCGTTTGTGCCAGACATCTTCCTAAGTTGCAGTGCCGACTGGAGCATCAGACTATGGCACCAGGACCAACAGAAGCCAATCCTCACCTTCCTCTCATCTACAGTACGTACACTTGGTCTTGAGACTAATTGGGGTGTGGTGTAGCCTAGTGGTTAAAGCATTTACTCGTCATGCCGAAAACCTTTGGTCGATTCCCCACATGGGTACAATGCATGCAGCCCATTCCTGGTGTCCCCACTGTGATATTGCTAAAAGCGGCATAAAACCATACTCACTCATGACCAATTGAAGTCTACAATTGTCCTTTCACCAAGACTCAAGTACTTAAAGTTTCATATAGGAAATATATAAATATGTTATGAGATCCTTGTCTATGCAATGAAAAGTCAAGCACTGAATGTGACAGCACGTATTTGATTTAATGAATTGATCAGTGAGAACCTTGCATTTGTTCTTTCAGAAAGCTGTAAATGACATATCATGGTCTCCGAGGTCATCAACGGTGTTCGCGTGTGTCAATGAGGGAGCTGTAGAAGTGTGGGACCTCAATGTCAGCACGTGAGTTACGTCCCTTGTTACAGAGATCTGTGGTTTCTTTCACTGCAATAAGTTTAATTGTTGTTAACATGTCTGAGATGCTTTGTGTGTTATGTACCGTGTAAGATGTTATCACTTCCTTAGCTTTGATCCTTGAGCAGGGTCTGAAGATTGTGCATTCAATTCCTAGCTTGTCCTCAGTTTTTATCATTGATCTGTAAGCACCATGACAGTGCTCATACGTTTCACTACGGCATTATGGCCACCTCCATGGTGTAGAGGGTGTCTGCCCAGAGAGTGGAATCGGTGGTTCAGTCTCCTGCTGGTATCATTCAAAAATATATTGTGATGTGGTACTTGTTGTTAGTCTGTCGATAACCATAAAGATGCGGGCTAGAATTGATCTTCAGTAACCCATACTTGTCATAAGAGGCGACTAACAGGAATGGGTGGTCAGGCTCGCTGACTTGGTTGACACATGTCATCGTATCCTAATTGCATAGATCGATGCTCATTCTTTAGATCACTGGATTGTCTGGTCCAGACTCGAATATTTACAGACTGCCGCCTTATAACTGGAATATTGCTGAGTATAGTGTAAAACTAAACACACTCACTCACTATTCTGGTGGTGTTTGAAGTTAAGGGGCTGAGGACTGGCAGGGTCAGTCAGTGTAATGTGTCTGAGTGGGGCATCCATGTTAAACAGCAGCATGGTAACTCAATGGACTGGCACTATAACACATTTAGCATGGATTTGTTCAGGTAGCCACACACACATGCATGCACATCAATGTGCAAGTGCAATAATCTTGAACCGGACTTTAAGCCCATTTGGGGTTTTATTCTGTATCAAGGTGATAATCTGTGACAGCGGGAATCAGTCTGTGTGTTTGGTTCCATGTTACACATGTTTCTAGTTTCTGTTCTGTGTTACAGTTTAGACCCAGTGATAATCAACAACCCTACAACAGACACTAAACAAGTATCTGTCACGTTTGCCAAAAACTCAGAGGTAAGGATCTCATCTATCCCTAACAATTGCTCATGAAATTTTTTTCCTTATCCTGACTCATGCTCTTTTGCTTGTCTCCTTCCTCTTGCGAACATAGTGGAACACTTGTATCTCCCTAATTGAAGTTCCCTTCAATGTAAAATCACTAATTAGTACACCACGAGTTACCTCCCTTCCACAAGCGGGGGAGCGAGAGCCACCTCTACCCATGTGCCTCACTCTCTCCTTCTTAGCCCAGTGAGCTGGGCGTGAGGCGCCTGTGTCTCCGACACACTATATCCTTTGATTATATTTAGTTAGTTACCTCGTATATAGAGATCTATAGAGGTTTAGCTAGTATCTTTCAACAATTATATATTGATATTTAGTAGTGTTTCTACTGTTTATGCGGGGCCCGTGCTGTTGCAGTGGATTACGTTGATAAAAATTCTGTACTGTTGCACATTCGTTTTTATTCTGCTGCTGATCCGCATTTAATATGCCCTAGCTGTACTGCGCCATGTTTCATGTGATTCCGTTGCAGTTCGCGATACTAATTTATCAATTCTACCTTTAATAAATAATTACTGCGTTTGAGGCAGCGCGCAGCAGATGGAGTCGCATTATGCAGAGTCTAGCATGACTGATACACCTGAACCCCTAAGCCAGTCTACTGCTGTTGGTCGACCCCCTCCCGTCTGGGTTTCCGCTAGAATGGTGGAAGCGTGGGGCGTAGTCCGCCGCCTCAAGCGTCCTGCTTCCCCAGACATCCCGCCGTAAGCACTGAGGGGTATTCAGCGAAGTCTACTAGAACTTTCTCAGCGAGATTGTTCTCATCGCGAGATTTGGGCCTGTATGATGATCAGCCGATCATCATTCCTGATAATACATCAAAGAATGACTGATGTCGGCAACAGTGATGTCAGCGCGCCAGATCAACATTCGATGATCTTCCTGAGGGTCCGTCGCTACCAACACTCAGCGCCAGACTTAGCACCCCAGGGCAGCGTCGACCTCTGAGGGAATTCAGCGAAGTCTACTAGGACTTTCTCAACGAGATTGTTCCAGCCGCTGAACTTGGCCTCTCGATGATCAGCCGATCATCATCCTCGGCGTATGAGACAAGTAGCGACCGGTGACAGCTACAATGACATCAGCAGAGATCGTCATGCAGCCTGATGTCTCTACACTGATGTCAGGCGACTTACCTGAGGGCCCCACCACTAACAAGCGCAGAGATGGCACCGACTACTTAAATCGCAGACCATCCCAGGCGAGCTACTACGGCAAATCATGAGTGCGTGATGGAGGTCACTACAGACTGGAGAAGCAGCCAGCCCAGAGTCACGAGCCTTGGCGAAGGCTCCAACTTAGAACAACACTCTAGAGGCACCTCCAGTCAGCGTAGCAGCCAAGGCGATGCAGCCTTGAAGGAAGTCGCCAGACCACCTTGACGAAGGACCCAGATGTACAGCAGCCTTGCGAAGGCCTTGGCGCGGGATAGATCATCACATTCCTCGGCTTCATCCTTAGATGCAGACTCAGCCACCAGACCTCCGCGGAAGCCTTGGCGAAGCTCAAATCGCCGTTCCCCAGCACCGAGCGAGGAAGCTTCGCGAAGCGTTCGTTCAGCGTTCGTTCGTGAAGGCGTTAGCGAAGGCATTAGCGAAGGCACTTTCGGGAAGGACACCCGAATATAGATCGTCATTTAACAGAGTCAAGGGACTACTCAAGAGCTTAGCGAAGCTGTCAATAGTCTCCGATCTCCTCGTACATCACCACATCGATCGCCTCACAGGTTACCACACAAGTCTGCACACAAGTCTACATCACCTTCCTAGAGTGGCAGTGCGGCGCAGACATACCTGATGAAGGAAGGCGGCGCCAGATGCTATCACCCTACCTCCGATCGACCCGATTGCTGCGGTAGCACAGAATCTAGACATAGCATCCCATAAAGCCACAAAAGTTCAGACACCATAATTGCGAACTTTCCGCCTAGAAGTTTTCCACGCACAACATGGACCCCTTCTTCAAGGCTTAAGACATCGATGAAAACTACAAGTTGATCATCGATATCAACAATAAGAACTACAATGCGTAAATTGGTTCAGTTGAATCCATGGCCGAGGCGTATGTTAGTTGGCCTAAATAGATCTAGAGCGATCATTGAGACACTTATCACCAGATTTAAGTAACCGACTTCTGAAAATGATAAGATGATCCACTCGGCCCTACTTATGCAGAACCAGCAAGTCCCAGGCCGCCTCCGCGAAGAAGAGCTAGAGCCTCACCAGCTACAAAGGGCGTCGGCGGAGGAGTAACCTTCGCCGACCCACATCCTGTTAAACACAGAGGCCATTAGCGAAGCAAAGCTCTCTATATATATATATATATATATATATATATATATTCTAATCGGACTTTGACTCGATACCTTCGCGAAGGTCGCGAAGGCTAAGTGGCTCAAGTCTACTTCACCAGTAGATCTAGAAGGGATACTTGAGAGCTTAAGTGAAGTCTCCGGCGTTCACCGAGGAAGTCTCCTCCAAGGTCTCCATATACTAGCCACTTTCGTCATATATAGCTACTCCTCAGTCCGTTCAAGACATCGCATAAGTTGTCTATCAACTGTATGCCAGATGCGATCTATAAGCCTCTGTGAAGACAATTGCACAGGCTATTTACAACACAGAGCGTCGCTGTATTAATTTGTCAGCGGCGTTTCATAGATCTTCACAGAAATCAACTATTCGTTATAAATTGCTAGTATATGCAATCCCGGACGGCGATCACGATTATCTACATGCGTGACCATTACGCATATCTGCAGACACAATTCAATATCGAAATTGAACAGCAGCCTTGTTACAGCGAGTATAACTCATAATCGTCAACATTTCTGAGAAGAAATATGTACAACAAATTCAGCTTTAATTCTACAATTATGGCGATACATTCATGTATACAGTCTACAAGCTGACAACTTACAAGTTATTGTACCTTTATATATAAAGAAGTCGAATTATATTCAAAACTGAAGTACTTTCCGCGACAGCCAGGAAAATAACCTACCCAGCATTAATATTACAGAGCAAGGTATTTTTCGCCGAAGCTTTCGCGCGTTTACCATTAATCCTCGAAACCGTGGTCACTTTCGGGTAACCGGGGAAGTTCACGATGAAGACCGATGATTGTTCTAATATCAGCGGCGGCACTATATTATACAAGGTTCCTTTTCCTGCTACACGGTGACATCACAGCGGGTACTCTACAGAATCAAAATGCCTTATTCTGATTGGACCCGATGAACAACGCCCTACACAGAGGTCGAGCATAGTTCACAGTTCAAGACATAGGTTGCAAGTGACAACTTTATATCAATGAGCGAGCAAGCCTCCTTACAGCCCAGTTAACCTGAACCTTCATGATTAGGCTGCTTTCTTCAGGTTAGAGACCTCCCTGTCAAGTTTAGACAAGGGCACAGCAGTCAGGCGATTTTACATAAAGTTCATCGAGGACACAAACTCCGGTTGTGCACATACATCGTCAAGGACATGCATAGCGATTTACCTAGAGCGGCGTGATACAAGTGGATCGAAATCCACAGCGTTTCAGACTACACCTGAATTTCATCATCAAGCTACTAACACAACTAGATGGTTAGTAAACCTACTAAGTTTCTGTTTGGAGAATAAGCGGAAGTTTCACATTACCAACTTGGGGATATGAATATAGTGCTACAACACCTCACAAGTGAGGTTTATGAACATGCCTGGATGACATACTTGGACTCCATGATACGATGATGCTATCAGCTGGCCAGCAAGAGCACTGTAAATTTATCTCCACCAAACCAAACAGGAAGAAAAATACAACAGATTTTTTTTCCTCTATCATCAACTTCGCAGAGTGTAGTCTCACGTACTATATCTCCGTTTGGATCAGAACTGTCATACTACGTGCATATACAGACAGATGGACCTAATCCGACCCTCCATGAGCTTTAATACTCTTGATATTAGAGCCCTAACTTCTACAATTTCATCTACACAAATGTTATTTGAAATAATGGAGGGTTTATTACTGTAGATCCGATATGGTGGTTGCCAACCATTATCTGAGAGATATCACCACCGAGGACATCTCAGGTATCCACCAATTCGATCCCATGGTCCTTGCACAACAGTTGACAGTTCCTCGGAAGAAGATAAGTCAATCTTACAGATTTTTACTTATCTTATAACAGTACTAAATAGCTTCATGCTATATATAATTTGCTTAAGCTCGTTTTTATCATCACAGTGGTTACATGATAAATGCATTAGCTAACAAACTCTACAGAGTTTTTTTGGCTATTATATCGTTAGCTTAAGTCAAGTATATTTTAAGCATAGTACTATACTCATATTGTAAAATACATTAGCTAACAAACTCTCACGGTTTTTGCTATTATATAGGTAGCTTAAGCTCATTCATATCTTAAGCTCAGTACTATGTTTATATCATATAACTATATTAGCTAACAAACTCTAAAGAGCTTTTGCTATTTGGCTTAAGTTTCATCATATCTTAAGCAATATGGTTACATTATAACATGTATTAGCTAACAAACTCTATGGAGTTTTTGCTATTATATATGTAACTTAAGCTTATTCATATCTTAAAGCGCAGTACTATGTTTATAGCATATAGGTATATTAGCTATCAAAACTCTAAAGAGTTTTTGCTATTATATATTGGGCTTAAGTTTTCATCATATTTTAAGCTTTATGGTTACATTATATCATGTATTAGCTAACAAACTCTCTGGAGTTTTGCTATACATATGTAACTTAAGGTTTCTTCATATCTTAAGCTCAATACTATGTTGATACCATATAAGTATATTAGCTATTAAAACTCTAAAAGGTTTTTGCTATTATATATTTAGCTTAAGGTTTACTTCATATCTTAAGCTCAATACTAGGTCTAAATCAACATAATAAAATGTATTAGCTATCAAACTCTCACGGGTTTTACTATTATATATATATAGCTTAAGTTTAATCATATCTTAAGCTCAGTACTATGTTTATAACATAAAAGTATATTAGTTAATAAACTCTAAGGAGTTTTTGCTATATACATTTAGCTTAAGAATCTAATCATATCTTAAGCTTAGTACTATGGTTACATTATAAATCTATTAGCTAATAAGCTCTACAGAGTTTTTGGCTATTGTATATGTAGCTTAAGTTAATTATATCTTAAGCACAGTACTATACTCATATTGTAAAATATATTAGCTAACAAACTTTACTAAGTTTGGCTATTATATATGTAGCTTAAGTTAATTATATCTTAAGCACAGTACTATACTCATATTGTAAAAATATATTAGCTAACAAACTTTACTAAGTTTGGCTATTATATATGTAGCTTAAGTTAATTATATCTTAAGCACAGTACTATACTCATATTGTAAAATATATTAGCTAACAAACTATACTAAGTTTGGCTATTATATATGTAGCTTAAGTTAATTATATCTTAAGCACAGTATTATACTCATATTGTAAAATATATTAGCTAACAAACTCTACTAAGTTTGGCTATTATATATGTAGCTTAAGATAATTATATCTTAAGCACAATACTATACTCATATTGTAAAAATGTATTAGCTAACAAACTCTACAAAGTTTGCTGTTATATATATAGCTAAGCTTATTCATATCTTAAGCTCAGCACTGTCTATATCATATAAATATTTTAACTAACAAACCCTAAAGGGTTTGTTATTATATAATTAGCTTAAAATTAATCATATTTTAAGCTTAGTGCTATGTTTATATCTTAAAGTATTTTAGCTAACAAACTCTAAGGAGTTTATACTAGCATATTAACAAGCTTAAGTCTATTAGTCTTAAGCATTGTATTAATATTATATATACTTATCATAATAAGTACATTGTAATAACCTCTATATGGCAGCTGATAAGCTGGCAGCAGGAATTCATCAGTTCAATGCCTTTATGAAGTTCTCATAGGGTTATTACAATCATCACAGTTCAAATCACTAATTATTAAAATCCAAAGTATTATATATTCCCACCTCCGGCTCTGTTGGATTCTACAAGCAAAAGAGCATGAGTCAGGATAAGGAAAATATGTAATTTTTTGAGTAAAATTGATATTTTATACTTATCCTGACTCATGAATCAACCCTCCCATCCTCCCCAAATAACACTTTGGATTTCCCTGTAAATTCAAATGTTGGGCTCAGTATATGAGGAGAGAGTGAGGCACATGGGTAGAGGTGGCCCCTCGTTCAGCTTGTGGAAGGGAGGTAACTTCGTGGTGTACTAATTAGTGATTTTACATTGAAGGGAACTTCAATTAGGGAGATACAAGTGTTCCACTATGTTAGCAAGAGGAAGGAGACAAGCAAAAGAGCATGAGTCAGGATAAGTATAAAATATCAATTTTACTCAAAAATTACATAATATTGCTGACTATGACAAACAAACAATTATTACCCCTGTTTCCTATTTCATTTTGTTTACAAATAACATCCTTTCGTCTCTGCCTCAGGTTGCTGCTCTGAATGGGGTAATCAAGGCCTCACTAGCCAGCCAGTTAGAAAATGTGTCCAGTACTCAACCCAAGGAAAGCAGTGACGACTTTGATCTGGACATCTGAACACCTTTCACGAGTATTACAATATCTGAAACCAACCATGGAGTACTGACAGCACCACAGTGCTCTAAAGTTAACCAGGAAAAGAAACTGAGCTCATTTGAAATCATCACATCCTGCTGTCAATCTTAAACTATATGAATTTAATTTTTCTTACCTCTGTGGACACATGCAAGATAAAATTTGAATTTAATCCAGTCTTTTTCTTTTTTTTATCAAAAAGATGAAAGAGTTCTGTTGAAGCCAAGTTCTAAATCTATAGTATGTGATGAACACGCATAATGCATAGTTTCTTACTTTCACTAATTTGGGCACAAAGTAGAGGCACTTAACTCCAAAATGTGAAAGAATAATACACAATTTCACACATGCTGGCAGAAACAATTTAATAAAATGTTGAAATTGTTATTTTTGTGTAAAATGTCAGTTTTACTCTGATCACAGAGTGAATTGACTAGTTGGGTCTAAGTATTGATGTGAGGATCACTGAAAACTGCAGCTTGGAGATACTTGGTGATGAAGCAACAGAAGATGTTGCTCTCTGTCATAAGTTTCAAGTATATAAATATAGGTGGTACATTTGCTTAAAATTTCAAATAACCTTCATCAAGTGATGTATCACAACTGTTTGTGTTGACATTGAGCTTATTTCATACAAGAGTCTTTGAACTTACAACATTGAAGTCTGCATGTGTGATACTAAAGCAACTCCTTCTTTCATATTTCTTAAAGTCTGGTCAGTCATCATAGTAATTGACTGTTTATGTATATTCATGACATAAGGCAATGTGATATAATATATCCGTCCACACTTGTAAATACTTAATGCATCTCAGCCAGTATATGTTTCTTCCGAAACAGTACAGACAAGTTTCATGGGGATCTTATTAAAGTAGGATCTTCTTCCAGCTACTCTATGGTAAGTCTGATGTTGATAGGATTGAGTGTCATGATAGCATGAGGGGATAGTCAGGATCATGCATATTCTGGCTGGCTCTTTCAGATTGTCACATTCCATCCATATTTGAACCAATCCCGTCCATATCTATCTGTGGTACAGGTTTGTGCAGCATGAAGTATTTAAGAAGTCAGGATCATGCATATTCTGGCTGGCTCTTTCAGATTGTCACATTCCATCCATATTTGAACCATTCCCGTCCATATCTATCTGTGGTACAGGTTTGTGCAGCATGAAGTATTTAAGAAGTCAGGATCATGCATATTCTGGCTGGCTCTTTCAGATTGTCACATTCCATCCATATTTGAACCATTCCCGTCCATATCTATCTGTGGTACAGGTTTGTGCAGCATGAAGTATTTAAGAAGTCGGGATCATGCATATTCTGGCTGGCTCTTTCAGATTGTCACATTCCATCCATATTTGAACCATTCCCGTCCATATCTATCTGTGGTACAGGTTTGTGCAGCATGAAGTATTTAAGAAGTCAGGATCATGCATATTCTGGCTGGCTCCTTCAGATTGTCACATTCCATCCATATTTGAACCATTCCCGTCCACATCTATCTGTGATACAGGTTTGTGCAGCATGAAGTATTTAAGATCTTGTTATTTAATGACTTTTAATGTTTTTCCATCATATATATTATACATTGTTCAAGAATGTTTTGTTTTATGCAATTCTAATTGAATATGAAAATTAATAAATATGAAAAGAGAAAGGTTCTTTTGTTTTCACTTGTTCAACTATTCTTAGACAATTAGTTGATGTAGTGACTAGAGGTTCCAGTCCAGGGTTAAGGTGACAGTAATCATGACCCCCTCAATCACAATCATCTCAAGTAAGAAGGCGGTGGGGTAGCCTAGTTGTTAAAGCGTTGGCTCGTCATGCCGAAGACCCAGGTTCGAATCCCCATATGGGTACAATGTGTGAAGCCCATTTCTGGTGTCCCCTGCCGTGATGTTGCTGGAATATTTTGCTTAAAGCAGCGTAAAACCAAACTCAGTCAGTCAGTCTCTAGTAAGGAGTTTTGGTGGACGACTTAATCATCCCTACTTCTCAACATCCAAGCCATTATATTGCTTTAACAACATTCACCAATCAGGGACCCGAGCATGTTAGAAATTGTTGACATACAGCTTGAAGTTTCATAGAATAACAATAATGGTAAAATGAAATTGATCCTAACTTACTGATTTGCTTTTATATACTTTCAACAATACTTTAGATCCTAGGTTTTATTCCCGGTTTGCTCCGATTATGTTTCCTGCTCTGTCGGACTTTAGATCCTAGGTTTTATTCCCGGTTTGCTCCGATTATGTTTCCTGCTCTGTCGGACCATACCGTGAAGGGTGGCGGGGTAGCCTAGTGGTTATCATGCCAACCCAGGTTCGATTCCCCACATGGGTACAATGTGTGAAGCCCATTTCTGTCCACCGCCATGATATTGCTGGAATTTAGCTAAAAGCGGTATAAAAATAAACTCACTCACTCATATACCCGTGCACATGGGTTTAAAAAGAAAGAGGTAGAGGACTTGCATGCATCTGGCTTTCCTCCCATGGGTTTACGCTGAGAAACCTGAAAGAGGTAGAGGACTTGAATGTTCATTGCATCTGGCTTTCCTCCTATTGCATATTGCAAGCTGATACGCTGAGATATACCTGAAATATTTGGCAAAGCAGAGTTAAATCTGGCTCACTGAACCACTTGAAATGTTCATATATTATTAGAGGTCAACAAGTATTAACATTTAAGGAAAACCAAGTTCTATGGATAGTCAACTTCTTTATTGCAATGAGTGCGACGGTGTGTATCAAGCAAGAGATCAATAGAACTTGTTTTTCCTTTATCTATACAACTTCTAAAATGCCTCTCAAAGAAAGTATTAACATTTCTGTACATTGTGCTTAATTTCTGACAAGAACACTGATACATGTGTAAAACATTTGGCTTTTCAGTGATCTTAATAACAATGTTTCCAAGAAAGTGTGAATGTTTAACAGTCTGAAAGTTGTAGCTTGAAATGGAACACAGGTGGCACAACATATACTTTTTCTGTTTGTGTTTGAAGTGCCATAAAATACGCCTTCAGCATGCGTAAGAAGGAGACTTCTACTTGTACATTGACACAGTACCTACCCCACAAGTACGACCACAAAGTCATTGGTATCACATGACAGCGATTTTAATAAACATCCAGTATCGTCCTATTACCCAGCAAATGGCTTATATCTCATAAAACACCCACTTGTGCAACATTTCATAGAATCATATTTCCTGAAACTACGATACCTTGGTATTCCTCGAAAAAACAACTTGCGAAATATGCAACCTATAACATCTTGAAGAAGAGTAGCCTTGTCTCCTTGTGGGTACAACATATTGATAATTAAGACTAACATTACTGTTATGTTTGGCCAGGATGGATATAAATCTGCATCCTTTTTCACAAGTGCTAATAGTATACTCCAAAAGAAACTGTTTATTTGTGATGCACTGATGCTGAAGATCCTGGTCAGAATTTTCAGCAGCTCATGCTTATTGTTAGAGGCGACTAAGAAGATCGTGTGGTCAGGCTCACCAATTTGTTTACTGTGTGTTATTGTATCCTGGTCGATGCTCATGATGTCAATCACAGGGTTGTCTGGTCCAGACTCAGATATTTACAGACTGCTGTTATATAACGGGGAAATGGTTGATTGTTGCGTTAAACGAGCCAACAAAACACGAAGGAGCATGTGTTTAACCCCAGACACATTGTATGTATTATGTGGTTGTATCGTATGTAATTTAGACGAGTGGCCTCTTTCATACAGATAAAGATTGACTGATATAAACTCCTCGTGATACCACAAGCACAATGTTTTATTCTTCACAGGACCGAAAAGTAAATTGACTTCGTGACTTAGTTCTCTTTATTCCTTGAGGAGCATAGGGCCTCAACCGTTGTCCTCCACGCTTGCCGGTCAGTGGCTATGCTCTTGGTAGCCTCCCAGGTTAAGCCGGTTTCCCTCAGTTCCTTTTCCAGGCTTCGTCCGTCTATAACTATTCTTAACACATTGGCTACGATCAAAGATAAGAATTCTTAGGGCTATGAACATTTCGAGAATAAGGGCCCAGGGCCTAGATTTTTAAGGCTCTTTTAGCGCCAAGATAGTCGTATGTTTGTTAATGCATGGCACTTGACTATCTTAGTAAGGGTTTTAAAAATCCAGGCCAAGGTCTGTTTTGGACGTCCTCTTTTCCTCTTGGTGATGTTTGTCTGGTGATGTTTGTTTTGTGTCTTCAATCCAACGCCACTTTTGTCGCTTGATCTGAGCAGAGACTGGGTCTTGGTTTGCTGCTCCCCACAAGTCAAGTTTGGAGACTTTATCAAACCACTTGATGTGGAGGATCTGTCGGAGACACTTGTTAGGGAAAGTCTGTATTTTGATGGAGCTGGTCTTGGTTACTTTCCACGTTTCCGATCCATAAAGCAGGAAAGAAGAAAAGTATCTTAGTATCTGACAATAGACCTCAATGCTTTCAAGGATCTTTTCCACTGTAGGCCAGCAAGACATATTTTACGTCCGTTGCCTAAGGTTGGTGGAAAGTGTGTTTTGAACTTAGAATTGTTGATAAAAGTTATAATTTTCCATTCGCTTTATAAATAATAATAACTTTTCCATTGGGATTTTTATGATCGTGTCCTATTCATCCGGAGAAGGTTGGTGGCGAAAATAAAACGTGGCTCTCAAATATGAACCGTCTTTCTAATGCAAATATGGACTTGAAATATGAACCAGAAATACGAGATAATAGGTGCATTATATGGACTTGATATGTATAAGAGAGGTCACAGAATTCGAGATAGGGAAGTACCATTACATGCTTATATGTTTATGTCAGTGACGCGCCGTAACACACTCAGATATTATCTCTTACAGACGCTAGAAAATATACTCAATAAAACATTCACCTCTTTACATGTGATGGCGGTGGGGTAGGCTAGTGGTTAAAGCGTTCACTCGTCACGCCGAAGACCCGGTTAGATTCCCCACATCGATACAATGCGTGAAGCCTATGTCTGGTGTTCCCCGCCGTGATATTGCTGGAATATTGCTAAAAGCGGCGTAAAACCAAACTCACTCACTCACTCACTCACTATTCTGAAACAAAACCCAACCTTCAACTTTCCCTTTCTTCTCACTTTGACTTTTTCATAAGGACACTTTCAAATGGGAAAGTACCATACTTCCTCTAAAAGGCCAGGAGCATTAGACATGACATTTCGCTTTAGGGGACGAACGTTTGAACTTAATAGTGAGTGAGTGACTGACTGAGTTAGGTTTTACGCTGCTTTGGGCAATATTCCAGCAATATCACGGTGGGGGACACCAGAAATGGGCTTCAAATATTGTACCCACGTGGGCGTGACGCTCGAACGCCTTAACCGCTAGGCTACCCCACTGCCCCTTGAACGGAACAGGCGCTCTGTAGCACGTGGAATGTACTGCAATACACTAATTTGCCATCTGTTAGACAGTCCACAATCTAATTTGTTCAGTTTTCAAATTATGAATTGAGAGCACTGCCAATATATTCCTCAAAGTGTAGCCTGGTAATTAAGTCGTCGGTTTCAAGCTAGTGCCGTGATATTCGAGACTTGCCTTCTGACTGGCTAATGTCCACTTTTTTTTATCAAAGTTCGCAAAAAGGTCTTTTTGATCGGCAATGAGGGGTCCTCGGGTCTTTATTCAGCGGTAAAACGAGAACTAATATCTGATTTCAGTGAGATTCGCTTTCTCCATTCGAGATAGGATTATTAGACACACTGCTGTAATGTTGCTGAATGCGGGGTTAAAAAACAAAAACAACACAGGGACAGGATTATTGGACCCTACTAAGCCCCGTACTCTTAAAATGATACCTTTTGTGACGAGTCTGTTCAGCCTGCTTGCTGGCAGTTGTTTTCGCTGCTGTCAGTGTACAGCTGAATATCAGCGGACTGTAAGCATGAGTCTGGGACAGCGACACCATTAGTTAGATGTAGCAGCGGTCCACACTGTCGACGTCGTGACCTGGACCATCAGAGTCGCCCAGTCTGACCTCCTGATCCAATTTAGTCGTATTAATAGTGCTGGGTTGTACTCTACCCATAGCCCCATGGGAGCTTATTATAAGAAATACGATAACCTGTATGTCTGCCGCAGTGTCTGGGTTACTTCTCGCCAATGTCTTCATGTCGAGCGAGTGAGTATGTTTGAGCAATATCTCGGTGGGGGACTCCAGGGTCCACTGGCACAAAGCGACCGCACTTCGCTAAGGTGATTGTAACTCCCATACTTTAACATAGACTTACAATCACTATATACTCGACTATAAACATCATTGAACATTTGAGATATTGCAGTGACAAAACGGTTCGAACGAGGGTAAAAGTATAAGCCCGATGTGGCATATTCATGGCTAATCATTTTCAGTTAACTGAGAATTGAGTAAACATTGAAGACAAAATAATATACTTATGTCATGTCATATAAATATGAGGCTTAAACACAAGCACACCGATATGATGTCATTAGCATTGGCATATGAGGCTAAAACACAAGCACAAGCACATCGATATGATGCCATTAGCCTCGGAACAAGAGGCTTAAACACAAGCACATCGATATGATGTCATTAGCCTCGGAACAAGAGGCTTAAACACAAGCACATCGATATGATGTCATTAGCCTCGGAACAAGAGGCTTAAACACAAGCACATCGATATGATGTCATGAGCCTCGGGACAAGAGGCTTATACACAAGCACATCGATATGATGTCATTAGCACTGGAACATGAGGCTTAATCACAAGCACATCAATATGATGTCATTAGCCTCGGAACAAGAGGCTTAAACAGAAGCACATCGATATGATGCCATTCGCCTCTGAACAAGAGGCTTATACACATGTACATCGATATGATGTCATTTAGCATTAGATTTCTTTATATTTTCCATTTTATTAAACAGGGAAACATCTGTTACGTGCTTGAAACTGGTTCCTGCTGGTCCTGGTCAAGGTTGTTTTGGAGCCACGGCAACGATGTGATTGTTAATGCGATATGCAATGTCAATGTGTCTCGAATTCAGATAGCAAATTGCTTTTGTGTTTAAAATATTGATGTGTCATTGTTTTATGAGAGCATCAGAGCGATCTGACAAGGTGTGCTGGAGACGCAAAACGAACCCAAGAGAATATCCAAATCAGTTGAAAAATGATCACCACATCAACAGTAAATCCATTAAACCCACGCCGCTTTTGAAGTTTGCTCGTCTCGCGGTGGATGTGGATTTCACAACGATGGGGTTTTTTTTAGTTTAACGTTTAATGTGACATGTTCAGTTTTCACAATTTATTGTTTTCAGTTATGAAACGCATGAAGAGATTTTATGTCCAGCTTTGATGGAATCGTGAAATCGGAAGCAAAGGCCAGAGCAGGATATAATGGGGAATAATTATTGCATTATCAGCCAGTAAAAGTCGGACAGCGCAGCAGTAGATACGACAGGTGATTGACAAGTTCTGAACCGCAGTAAAGTATTAAAGTGTCAAAAAAGTATATCCACAAATTCTTGAGATGACTTCCGCTGCGACAAGTCAGTGAAATAAGAAGGATTCTGTTTGTTTGTTTGTTTGTTATTTAACACCGCACTCTGCAATATTCCAGATATATGGCATCGGTCTGTAAATAATCGAATTTGCACCAGACAATCCTGTGATCAACATTATGAGCATCGATCTACGCAGTTGGGATACGATGACATGTGTCAGCGAGTCTGACCGCCCAATCCCGTTAGTCGACTCTTACGACAAACGTGTGTTGCTGAAGACCAATTCTAGCTTGGATCTTCACGAGTCATCATGTCAGATTAATTATATCCATATATTTCATGTCGGTTGGTTGTAGACATCACAAAACACATACATGAAGCTCCAATTTGTTAACTTGACGTATGTGGCCAGAAAATAACCCAATCGATAAATCTTAACAAAACATTTTAACTATCTGTATAGAATCTTCCTGATTCATTCAGTAGACTATTCTTGATTCATTGGAAACACACACAGTTTGTTAAATATGAAGTCACGAAATGCATGGAGAAGCTTGAGTTTAGAGTGTGCGTTGTATTGTTCGCTCTCTGTTGCCCCCGGTGTCTACCACTGTGGAGTAAAATTCTTAATTCGATATATTGGACTTACATTTACTACTTGACTCTCCGGTTGCCTCGGTTTGGTTTGGTTGTTGTTTAACGCCGCACTCAGCAACATTCCAGCTATACGGCGGCGGTCTGTAACTAAACGAGTCTGAACCAGACAATCCTGTGATCGACATAATGAGCATCGATCTACGCAATTGGGATGCGATGACATGTGTCAAACAAGTTGGTGAGCCTGACACCCGAACCCGTTAGTCTCTCGACAAGCATGGGTTGCTGAAGATCAGTTCAAACTCGGATCTTCACGGGTCCCGGTTGCCTCTGATGTCTCGTGGGTAATGTTTGGTGTTCTGTACAGTGGGGACAAAACACTGGCCTGAACGATGCCAGTATGATGTAGGGGCGGTGGGGGTAGCCTAGTAGTTAAAGCGTTCGCCCGTCACACCTCAGACCGGGTTCGATTCCCAACATGGGTACAATGTGTGAAGCCCATTTCTGGTGTCCCCCGCCGTGATATTGCTGGAATATTTCTAACTCAGCATGATTTATGGGGTTTCATACTGAAACTGCGCCTAGGAGTTCCAGTGGACTATCACTATAAAGCGAGTAGGTGAGTTTACGCCGATTTTTAGCAATATTCCAGCAATATCACCACGATGGACACCTAGCGCTTTAAAACATTAGAACTGTCTAGTACAAGGTACGTTTGAGAAGATTGCATTAAGAAATATGTTTTGAAAGAAATTGTTCATAAACCTGACATAAGCCATTTTTTCATAATTTACTGTTCGGGATAAAACCTCTCTGCAGTACAATGTCTTATGCTAAAAATATATCCATTACTCCTTACGAATGCTCGTTCCGTTATCCAGTACAACAAAATATCTCCCTAACTTATACATTTAATGGCTTGGCAGAATACTCACCGATCATAAAGATAGGGCATAACGTTTTCTACAAATTAACGTTTCCAGAACGGTGTTAGAATGGACGGAGTGGTCCGAGATATAACTAGCGTCGAGCAATGATTGGCCCTCGAAGGACGTCAGAGCGTGCACGCCTATAACATCGGCTAATAAACGCGTCACGCTTGTACGTTCGTCAGTAACGACGTCAGGTCATGTGAAATCAATTACTGTGCTCGATGGATCCTTGGCAAGCGTACTCGGGTTTACGTATGGCCAAAAATATTCATGAGTTCATTGACTACATTGTAAAGTAATCCCAGTCAGCCGAATCAGAGAAAAGTCGACACGAAACACATTTATCGCCATTCGTCTTGGCGTCACTTCATGGAGTCAGATCACTCTCCTGCAGTCCTCTTAGCTCAGACATATTGGGATTTGAACCTGGACCCTCGACCTGAAATACAAACGCTTTAACCACGGCATCCTGAGATCAGCAGGCTGAACAATTTGTGGGTGTAAATAATACATACATCGTAGATTTGTCGTCTAGGCTCGAACCTCACGTTGTAGTAGTATGCCCGGGCCACAACCTCACGTTGTAGTAGTATGCCCGGGGCACAACCTCACGTTGTAGTAGTATGCCCGGGGCACAAAAGAGTGTGTGAGGATGATACCGGAAACTGTCTTCAGACAATTTACCCATCACTGCCACAACACCTACAACTACAAATGCTCCTGCTACAACTACTACTACGTCTTCTACTACTGCACCTACAGCTGGTGCTGCTGCTACCACCACCACTCCTCCTCCTTCTTCTTCTTCTGCTACTACTACTACTACTACTACTACTACTACTACTACTACTACTATTAATACTACCACCGCCACAACTATCACTACTCCTGTTACTACTACTCCTACAACTACAACTACTACTACTACCACGACAACTACTACTACTACCACAGCTACTGCTATTGTCAGTACTACTACTACTACTGTTACAGCTGCTGTTACTAGCAGCACAACTACTTCTACTACCACTACAACTACTGCTACAACTGCTGTTACTAGCAGCACAACTACTACTACTACTACTACTACCACTACTACAGCTGCTGTTGCTGCTAATGCTACTTCTACTACCACTACAACTACTGCTACAGCTGCTGTTACTACCATCACAACTACTTCTACAACTACCACCACCACTCCTACTTCTACCACAGCTACTGCTATTGACACTACTACAACTGCTGCTACCACAACAGCACCTACTTCTACTACAAACTACCGCTACTACTACTATAGCTACTACTTCTGCTACTATAGCTACTACTACTACTACTACTACTACTACTGACTGTTACAGCTGCTGTTACTAGCAGCACAACTACTTCTACTACCACTACAACTACTGCTACAACTGCTGTTACTAGCAGCACAACTACTACTACTACTACTACTACTACTACTACCACTACTACAGCTGCTGTTGCTGCTAATGCTACTTCTACTACCACTACAACT